TTTTATTTTTTGATTGGGGGAGGGGGCAGCAGCCTGGGAGGCAATTCCTTTTGCCCCCGATCTCCTTCTTCCATTTTTTCTTTTCTTCTTCCTCTTTTTTCCCTTTTTCTCCTCTTTCCCTTTCCCTTCTTTTCCTTTTCTTTCTCTCCTTTTTTTTCGGGGGGGGGGGGCAAGGCCCGCACGCCCCCTGGATCCGCGCCTCTCTACATGTACTAAATGTACATTTGTCTATTATGTAAAAATCAGACTAATTAAACGAGCGTGCTCGCTAAATTCAATTCGACAACTAATGATCATTATTTTCTCACAAAAAGACATTTTCAAACCTTTTGGTTTGAGGGAAGTTCTAAATCATTATTATCATACAAATTACGTTGGAAATTAACCTCGTCATTATTTTTGGCCTGCACATAGGACATAATACCGTTTTAACTTCAATAAACTGTATTGTAATTGGATGGTGAAAAATTAATATTCCAGTTTATCCATAGTCAATGCACATGGCGCTATAGGGTGGTGAAAAGTTAGCGTAGGGTGGTGAAAAATTAATATTCCAGGTTATCCATAGACAAGGTACATGACCGTAGGGTGGTGAAAAGTTAGCGTAGGGTAGTGAAGAGTAAATATTCCAGCTTATCCATAGACAATGTACATAACGGAAGGGTGGTGAAAAGTTAGCGTAGGGTGGTGAAGAGTTAATATTCCAGCTTATCCATAGACAATACACATGACGGTAGGGTGGTGAAAAGTTAGCGTAGGGTGGTGAAGAATTAATATTCCAGCTTATCCATAGACAATGTACATGACGGTAGGGTGGTGAAAAGTTAGCGTAGGGTGGTGAAAAATGAAATATTCCAGTTTATCCATAGACACTGTACATGGCGCTAGGGTGGTGAAAAGTTAGCGTAGGGTGGTGAAGAGTTAATATTACCATTTATCCATAGACAATGCACATGACGGTAGGGTGGTGAAAAGTTAGCGTAGGGTGGTGAAGAGTTAATATTCCAGTTTATCCATAGACAAGGTACATGACCGTAGGGTGGTGAAAAGTTAGCGTAGGGTGGTGAAGAGTTAATATTCCAGCTTATCCATAGACACTGTACATGGCGCTAGGGTGGTGAAAAGTTAGCGTAGGGTGGTGAAGAGTTAATATTCCAGCTTATCCATAGACACTGTACATGGCGCTAGGGTGGTGAAAAGTTAGCGTAGGGTGGTGAAGAGTTAATATTCCAGCTTATCCATAGACAATGCACATGAGGTAGGGTGGTGAAAAGTTAGCGTAGGGTGGTGAAGAGTTAATAATCCATAGACAACATGACGGTAGGGTGGTGAAAAGTTAGCGTAGGGTGGTGAAGAGTTAATATTCCAGCTTATCCATAGACAATGTACATGGCGCTAGGGTGGTGAAAAGTTAGCGTAGGGTGGTGAAGAATTAATATTCCAGTTTATCCATAGACACTGTACATGACGCTAGGTTGGTGAAAATTTAGCGTAGGGTGGTGAAGAGTTAATATTACCATTTATCCATAGACAATGCACATGACGGTAGGGTGGTGAAAAGTTAGCGTAGGGTGGTGAAGAGTTAATATTCCAGTTTATCCATAGACAAGGTACATGACCGTAGGGTGGTGAAAAGTTAGCGTAGGGTGGTGAAGAGTTAATATTCCAGCTTATCCATAGACACTGTACATGGCGCTAGGGTGGTGAAAAGTTAGCGTAGGGTGGTGAAGAGTTAATATTCCAGCTTATCCATAGACACTGTACATGGCGCTAGGGTGGTGAAAAGTTAGCGTAGGGTGGTGAAGAGTTAATATTCCAGCTTATCCATAGACAATGCACATGAGGTAGGGTGGTGAAAAGTTAGCGTAGGGTGGTGAAGAGTTAATAATCCATAGACAATGTACATGACGGTAGGGTGGTGAAAAGTTAGCGTAGGGTGGTGAAGAGTTAATATTCCAGCTTATCCATAGACAATGTACATGGCGCTAGGGTGGTGAAAAGTTAGCGTAGGGTGGTGAAGAGTTAATATTCCAGCTTATCCATAGACAATGCACATGACGCTAGGGTGGTGAAAAGTTATAGCGTAGGGTGGTGAAGAGTTAATATTACCATTTATCCATAGACAATGTACATGACGCTAGGGTGGTGAAAAGTTAGCGTAGGGTGGTGAAGAGTTAATATTCCAGCTTATCCATAGATAATGTACATGACGGAAGGGTGGTGAAAAGTTAGCGTAGGGTGGTGAAGAGTTAATATTACCATTTATCCATAGACAATGTACATGACGGTAGGGTGGTGAAAAGTTAGCGTAGGGTGGTGAAGAGTTAATATTCCAGCTTATCCATAGACAATGTACATGACGGAAGGGTGGTGAAAAGTTAGCGTAGGGTGGTGAAGAGTTAATATTCCACTTTATCCATAATTGACAATGTACATGACGCATGGTGGTGAAAAGTTGAGATCGTGAAAAATTATATCCATAGAAAATATGTACATGACGGTGACATAATGGTGAATAGTTTATGTGATTTGGTATTTAAAGAGTCAATGCCCCCTTTCGCAGAGAAAAGGCATATATATATATATATATATAATTATGCATGACATGCTTATGGTGCGGGGATATATTGCAATTCGAAAGAAGATAATAACGTTTTAATTTCTAACATAAATGAGGTGAGGTCGTAGTATAATTCTTTGATTTGCCCTTAAGTACTGCGCTTAACCCCCCCCCCCCCCTTCCATCATCTACTCTCATTATATCCGACCACCATGCCTATTTTAATTGGTAGCCAGCCATCGTTGCACTGATCATGCCTGATGGATACAATACACAAAGAATATATTGCGTGTGTGTAGTATAGCGGTTGTACGTGTACAATGCGATCCTTATACACTTATCAAATTGGCAATTTTTACACATTAAATGGGCTACCTTCATCTCCGATTAGGTGTGTGAAGAAAAGCTTCACCCGCAGATATAGATCTAGGATTAAGGATTCGGGAGAAGTTAGCCCGAAAACAATAGAATTTGCGCTAATGGTGTCTTCAAAAAGAAAAACGGAAAATGTATGTGTAACATCGGGGATAAAGAGAAGAAAAATTAGATCTACGTAATTTTTAGCACATTAACACACTATTGTTACATAAATAAATTGGGAAGTGAGGTCTACTTTTTTTTTGCTACCGAAAATGTGAAAATCGCGCCGGCCGAGAATTCGCGGGGGGGGGGGGGGGGGGGGGGGCCTGGGTCTGGGTCGATGGGCATCCATCTTGATCTACTGAAGTAAGACCGGCAAGCGGCGCAGACGGCGGCCGGTAGCCTCGCCAACGATTGAATTTTTATTCGCAAAGCTTAATCCAACAATATACAAGAATAACAGATCAAAATAAAGTCAGCTTGAACATAGGATAACCCACGTAAGCTCGAGAACTTATTTCCAGTGGGGTTCCCGACAGACATGTACAAAATTAATAAGTTGAAAAGTATATTTACAGACAGATAAGAAAGAAAAAAACTTATTAAAGATAATAATGATATGATAATGATAACAATCACATTAAACTGATGATAGAAATGATAATAAGTACAAGAAGAAAAAGAAAAAGGAGAAGAAGAAATAGAGGAGGAGGAGGAGGAGGCCGGAGGAGGAGGAGGAGGAAGCCAAGGAAAATAATGATGAGTAGGCCTATGTAAAGAATTTCTATAATACATAAACATGATTACAAAATGAAAAAGTATGAACCGGCAGAAGAATAACAATTTCAATCATAATATGGCATTCGCTTCTCTTCTCTGACTCTTCAAGTGTTAGGTGTCCCTTTAAATTCCTCTTAAAATGAGCAAACTTTTCTATTTTCTTTATAATTATAGGGAATTTTATGGCGTCGCAATAAAAAAACGAATTTCCAATTCAGTTCTGGTAAATTAAAGTTGAAGCGGCTATTTCTTATTATCATGTAAGTCAGTAACAACATCGAAATTGGATCGAATATAATGATTCGACGGTAAACCTAGTATGATATATTTTATGCACGTGATGCAATACCAGTTGTTTTGATCGATTAAAGTTGAAGCAGCTATTTCAAGAAAACCAGCTTTTAGAAAGTTCGCTGTAGCCAACATTAAGTTCTTGGACTAGACTGTTGATGAGGCTCACCATTTTGTTCTGTATAATTTGAAATTTATTTTGATCTGACTGTCGTGACTGATAATGATCTGACAATAATCTAACTTCTTTCGATCTGATAATAATGGGCTTTATTATCATTTTTTTCCAGAGGGGGGCGGGGGGGGGGGGCCCGGGGCCGCATTTTCATTTTTTGTTTAAAGAAGGTAAAATTAACGTACCATCTTTAAAAAAAAACACCTATTTCCCCATTTGTAAACACCTGAAAAACAGATGGGTGTCTTTAAAATTATAATCCCTCCTTTTGCCAAGGGAGGGGGGGGGGGGTGTGTTTGACCCAAAACCCCCCCCCCCTCGATACGATAATGGAAAGCTAGCCCTAATAATATTTGCTTCGGCATGTGACATATAGCCTATGAGAACAAAGAATACTAATTAATCTCACATTTAAAATGGGGTCGGTTAATATTTAGTTAAAATGTCATAAAATATTTGTTAAAGCCTTCAAAGTTGAAAACGCACTTTGGCCATTATTTTCTGTGTGCTGATAAACCTTCCGATATAAAACAATACAAAAACTATAAGACTGACAGACAAGGTGCCTCGGCATGTGACATAATTATATGAGAGTAAAGAGTAATATCTCACCTTAATAATGGTGTAGGTTATTATTTAGTCAAAATATCAAAAGATAGTTCTAAAAACATTAAAATCGAATCTCTAATAATGCAGTTGAAATGCCGTCAGCCGAAACGTGCAATTTTTTTTCCTTTTCGAATGTATGATTTAGAGACACTACAGCCTCCATTGTTGATGGCTCGCCTCCTCCTTACTGGTCGCCAGTTTTAACGAGCGGAACAGTAGCTGTATGGAGAGTTCTTTATCTTCTTCCTATTGCTTTTGCGTTGTCCCATTCCATACCATAGAAATAGTGTTCCGGGAATCCAAAATAAATCTACACTAATTAGATATCTGGTAGGCGGTACAGTTAAACGTTACCATTCCTAGTATTCTTCCAGAGGCAGAGTCAGAGAACAAATTAAGAATATGTTGATCAAGGTGAAGGTAAGGTGGAAGTTTTCATTGTTTTTATTTATTTTATTTTCTAATCCATCCACTAAAAAAAAAAAATTGTAAACAAGTCTTGGTGCACGAGCGCCCGACCCGGCAAGGAGCCAGAGTCAAAAGGTAGCTGTGAGACTGAGTGAGGAGACAGAAGTCCATCATCATCCATGAAAGTCTGATGAAGATGACGGAAGATTTATTGTTAATTAACGTGAATAATGTCTAGTCTAGTGATAATTGTGAACTAGCTTGTCGTTGTTATCATGATTATCAATATCATGTCAATATGTGTCATTGCAATGTTTAGTTTAACAATAAAGAGTCTTTATTTTATAAATGTTTGACTCGTAGATTTACAGTTACAACTACAAATAGAATTAAGGTTTTATTGATAAACAAGACCGGTAACCCGACACATGCTCCGCCGACGATTGCTCCGCCGACATTTGCTCCGCCTGAAGCGACAATTGTTCCGCCGACATTTGCTCCGCCGACAATTGCTCCGCCGACAATTGCTCCGCCTGAAGCGACATTTGCTCCGCCTGAAGCGACACTTGCTCCGCCGACATTTGCTCCGCCGACAATTGCTCCGCCGACAATTGCTCCGCCTGAAGCGACAATTGCTCCGCCGACATTTGCTCCGCCCAAAAAGTGTCCCATAAACTACAAATGCTACTAGTACTACGACAAATGCTTCGCCGACAATATTTTCTTTACACCTATTTTTTTGTTTCTTTTTTTCTTCTTCATTTTCTGAATGCATTTCTTGAAATAATGTAGATGAAATGAAATGAATGAATGTTGATGAAGTGGGAGGAAAAAGGAGTTACCTAAAAGTCATTTCGAATATACTGAAATAACTTTCCATCTATCACTGTACGTCCCATATAATGTATACTAAACACTCATTACATGTCGTGGGAAGTTTTTTAAAAAAAGTAGAGCAGCAAGCGACATTCCCCAATACGCGCATACCTCCTAGTTAATTTCAAGTAGCTCATCATGTAATACCTGAAATTACCTCGATCAATGCATCTTACTAGGTAAAGCATTATACAATGTAATAGGTCATCATGGAAGTTTAGAAAATAAGTAAGGGGGATTTACCAAGTGTTGATCTTTTTAAGAGTTTTATAAAGAAACAAAAAGATATTGAATATTTCTCAGCAAAAAAAAGGAACAAGCTTGTTTCGCATTTTAAGAAATGGCGATTTGACTTATGATACTCATGTTGATTTAACTTTTATTCCTGTGCCCCCTCACTCCCCTTTATGCACTGGAGTTCAAACTATGATTTACATGTGTACAGTGTATTTTTTTTTACTATAATGTTTTTTTTTTATAACTTTCTTGTCCTTTCATTATTGTTAGTTGTTCTTATACATATTGGTTTTTTTGTTTGTCTAATTATTACCAATGACTTGTAAATATGTAATTTTTATATGATTGAAAATTTAATAAACACACAAATATAAAAAAAAAGTTTAGAAAATAAGGGCACTTATAAACGTAAGGAAGAGAACCCATTCAGACGGGAAAATGAGATGGCAGCCTTTCTGCTTATTCACATTTATACAAATCATTTTGTTGCAGTTTGATGTTAGTTCTTCATGATAAGCCAATTGCTCTTCTTCCGGTGGCTTCGTGAGTCCCTTAAATTATTTAGTGAAAACAAAGTACTCGAATGAAACGGAGTGTTTTGCACACTATCATATATATATTAAAGCTACATACACTTAACTAAAGGAAAGAAACCTTTAGAAAATGGACTGGATATTATTGAAAATATTATTCTAAACAAGAATGTACTACATGATTGTATTACTTTACGTTTCAATTTCACGAGAGAAATAGAACTCGAGAGGGGGAGCAGAGAAGAAGTGATGGAAATGAAAGAAGACTAATAGCATGAGAGGAAAGAAAAGAGCAAAGAAGACAAGAAAACGGTGTAAACAGGAAAAGGAGGAGCATGGGAGAGAGAGAAAGAGAGAGAGAGAGAGAGATAGCCTTGAGCTTTGGATCAGCTAATGAGTAATACATGAAACAGATTTTGAGCGGAGTAATTATCTTTCGCCGGAGAACTTGCGTAAGGAGCTATAATTTTATTTTTTATTTTTTTAAATCAAACATTATGGGAATAGCAAAAAACGGTTGTCTTTTTTGCTCTTTTCTTTCCTCTCATGTTGTTAGTCTTCTTTCATTGAGGTAATTTCAGGTCTTACATATTGATGAGCTGTTTGAAATTAACTAGGAGGTATGCGCGTATTGGGGAATGTGGCTTGCTGCTCTACTTTAAAAAAAAAACTTCCCATGACATGTAATGAGTGTTTAGTGTACATTATGTGGGACGTACAGTGATAGATGGAAAGTTATTTCAGTATATTCGAAATGACTTTTAGGCAACTGCTTTTTCCTCCCACATTATCAACATTCATTCATTTCATTTCATTTACATAATGTCATGAAATGCATTCAAAAAATGAAGAAAAAAAGAAAGAAACAAAAACAACCCGTGAAAAAAAAATATTGTCGGCGAAGCATTTGTCGTAGTACTAGTAGCATTTGTGATGGGACACTTTTTGGGCGGAGCAAATGTCGGCGGAGCAAATGTCACCGGAGCAAGTGTCGCTTCATGCGGAGCAAATGTCGTCGGAGCAATTGTCGGCGGAGCAAATGTCACCGGAGCAATTGTCGCTTCAGGCGGAGCAATTGTCGGCGGAGCAATTGTCGACGGAGCAATTGTCGGCGGAGCAATTGTCGGCGGAGCAAATGTCGTCGGAGCAATTGTCGGCGGAGCACGTCACCGGAGCAATTGTCGCTTCAGGCGGAGCAATTGTCGGCGGAGCAATTGACGGCGGAGCAAATGTCGGCGGAGCAAATGTCGGCGGAGCAAGTGTCGCTTCAGGCGGAGCAAATGTCGGCGGAGCAAATGTCGGCGGAGCAATTGTCGCGTTTTGCGGAGCAATTGACGGTGGAGCAATTGTCGGCGGAGCAATTGTCGGAGGAGCAATTGTCGGCGGAGCAATTGTCGGCGGAGCATCTGTCGGCGGAGCAATTGTCGGCGGAGCAACTGTCGGCGGAGCAACTGTCGGCGGAGCACCTGTCGGCGGAGCATTTGACGTCGGAGCAAATGTCGCGGAGCAATTGTCGCGTTTTGCGGAGTAAATGTCGGCGGAGCAATCGTCGGCGGAGCATGTGTCATGGAACCACAAGACCCTGGCCTTGCCTTGGCTTTAATTTAACTTTGACCTTTTAGTTTTACTGCACTGTCTGTCATCCAATAAAGTCAGTTCGCCACTCTCGCAAAATGGGTGGCATTAACATTACAAAGAAGAAGAAAAAAATCAGGTTAAAATTGTTTATCAATTACATAATGAACTGCATTATTTTTCTTTCTCTTTCTTTCCATTAATACAGACACTCACTGGGAAAGAGGTAAGCTTTAAAGATTAAATATGCCATTATGCTATCTAATTTCTCAAATGACAGAAATAGCCATTTAACATGGGGAAATTTAATATTTATCACTCTTACTGAGATGTAAAAAAAACTTGCCTACATGGATCAATATCCAAGTTCATTTATGATTTATTTACAAACTTTAAAGATACATAGGGGTCTAATACAATTAAGAACTTCTGGTGAGTTTTTTAAATTGGAAATCTCTGCAATCATACTGGGAAATCAAACATACACATAGGTCTACATGTTGTAAAGTGCACCTCTGGGGGCATCAATTGTCACTTTGAAGGGCAATTCAATCCAACCTTTGTAGATATGTCTTTGATATAACGACTGAGATTTATTGTTTGATTAAATGTGAAATCAGCAAAAGCACTACAATCATATTTGTTATGTACTCTTACTTGAGGTACACAGATGAATACTCAAGACAGATAATAGCACACGTTTGATACTCATGGTATAAGATTCCAAAGCAAGTTTATTGCGCAAGGCGCATGCGCAGCTTTACAATTGTGGGTCATCGTATGACGTCATCCATATATAACATCTCTCCCCCCGTAGTTTTAAAGCCCCTTCTTAAAATTATAAAACAGTAATTGTAAAAACAACAAATATCGTAGGTATGAAATGTTAGGTAATCCAAACTATGATTAAACAAATAAACAGTTTGCAAATCCACTTTTTCAACAAGTTGAGTATACTTTTGCTTGTACATTAACTTTATATCAAATAATTTCTATAAACTTAAAAATTAACCAAATGAGTAAAGGCATCAATTCCTTTTATTGACTATTATTTCAAATATATGAAACAAGTGAGATATGGTTTTATTGCTTAGAATTAAAACCTGATTAGCAGTTTGCATCAGTCCAAAATTATTCAAATCCATAGTAATTTGGTTTTCTTCGCTCTCGTCTAGGGTAATCCTTTCTACCGGCATCGCGATTGACGTCGCGGTTTTCGTCGAAGTCGTCTTCGCGAGCTTCGCGGATGTCTACTTGATCTGCGTGATAATCTTCGCGATCATTATTATCGTTATCAGAATTGATAACATCATCTTCATCGAGTGTAGGGACAACACCTTCGTTCGCGTAGTCTTGTTTCCGCGCGGTCGATGAGGAAACTCGACTTCGGAGTTGGTCAACATGACGCTTCCATTTTAGTGTCGCACCGTCGACACTGACATTGACCACATATGATACTGGACCGGTACGGTCGGTTATTTTACCGGGTAACCATTGGTTGCCTCGAGCATAATTTCTCACAAGGACGTCGTCGCCTACATTGAATTCGCGAAGGGCGTGAGTAGTGTGAGCGATCTTTTGGGCGAACTGCTTTTTCTCTACGGTTGCGTTCACATCTGGCAGAACTGACGTAATGCGAGTACGCAGTTTACGATTCATTAGCAACTCTGCCGGTGATTGCTTTGTAGTAGCTTGCGGTGTTGTACGGTAACTTAACAGGAACCGCGATAACCTAGTGTGAAGGGGACCACTCATTTTTCGGAGGGCTCCTTTCACAGTTTGCACGGCTCTCTCCGCGAGGCCATTTGTAGCCGGGTGGTATGGCGCTCCTCTGATGTGATTTATTGCGTTCATCTTCATGAATTTGGCGAATTCATCACTGGTGAAACAGGGCCCATTATCGGAAACCAGCGTGTTGGGTAGGCCATGTGTTGCGAAAACTTCTCTTAATTTCTCTATTGTCGCTTCGCTTGTCGATTTCGTAGTGATGTGAACATCCATCCACTTCGAATACGCATCAATTACTACGAGAAGCATTTTACCTTCTACCGGGCCTGCGTAATCTACATGAATTCGCGACCACGGCTTGCTGGGATATTCCCATTGATGTAGCGGTGCTTTCGATGGTTGTCGTTGGTGTGCTTGACATTTTTCACAAGATTTCACTTTTCGCTCCAAATCTTTGTCAATTTGCGGCCACCATACGCAACCTCGCGCACTTGTTTTCATTCGGACTATTCCGGGGTGAGCATCATGTAGCTCCTCCATCATCTGATCCCGGCATTTTGGGGGCAGCACCACGCGAGCTCCCCATAACAGTACTCCTTCATGTACACTCAACTCATCTTTACGATTCAGATACGGACCGAACGCTTCGTCTTTCAATTCATGCGAAGAAACCCATCCATGCATGACGAAATTTCGAACGCGTGATAAGACTGGATCCTTATCGGTCATTATACGGACGCGTGAGGGCGTGATAGGTGTTTTCTCGAGGATGTCCATCAGTAGAACGATATCTCCTGGGACGGGAGGATCCCCGATTGTTGACTCTTGAGGTAGTCTGCTGAGTGCATCCGCGTTAGCATTTTCTTCTCCCGCCTTGTACGTTATGCGATATTCGTATGCTGCTAACGTAATCGCCCACCGTTGGACGCGCGGAGAAGCCATCTGCGGAATAGCTTTCTTTTCACCGAAGAGTCCAAGTAGCGGCTTATGGTCGGTTATTATGTCAAACTTCCGACCATATAGGTACTGGTGGAACCGCTTCACGCCGAAAACTACTGCTAATCCTTCTTTATCTAGTTGCGAATATCGGCGCTCCGCTGAGTTTAGGGTTCGCGACGCGAATCCGATCGGTTTTTCGGATCCATCCGAAAACTTATGTGCGAGAACAGCTCCGACGCCGTACGGACTAGCGTCGCAAGCTAGTATCAGCTGTTCTTTCGGATCGTAATGGGTCAATACCCTCGTTGATTGGAGTAGCTTTACCAAAAAGTAGAATAAAACACAAAGTTTATCCTCGTCGCCAAAATAGCTGTTATGTACTCTTACTTGAGGTACACAGATGAATACTCAAGACAGATAATAGCACACGTTTGATACTCATGGTATAAGATTCCAAAGCAAGTTTATTGCGCAAGGCGCATGCGCAGCTTTACAATTGTGGGTCATCGTATGACGTCATCCATATATAACATCATTCATATATTACTTTTTAAGATTGTAAAAAAATTATACTGGTACATTTATATATTATGAGTGATCAAAAAACTCTTAGAATGATATAAAAGCCAACAACTTTCACACAATTTCAATCGATATTACCACATACAACATTCCTGTAACTTGCTACATTATACAATGTAGGATGATTTGGATGAGAAGGCATGTGATATAATTAATATGCAATTTATTAGTGGGAAGGTCTGCCTTGTCCAATTATGATGTCCTTCATCTTTTTATTCTACAGATTGAGATCGACATTGAACCAATGGATAAGGTGAGAACAATTACTTGCTTGCTTTATACACTTGCCCCTTTCTCCAACATTTAAAGTGTGCCTATCACTTGACAAAATAGTTTTTGTATATCGCTAGCATGCATAATACCAACCCCAAAAGACTTTGCCTGGCATTCTATTATGTGAATGGTTAGTCTGGTTAAGGAGTATGAAGAAAATAAAGGATAACATAATCCCCTCATATAGGGTTCACACAGAACCCAAGTTGGTCCTGGGGTGCTATACATGCCCTATTCTATGTGAGTGATTATATATGCGTTGACTAGTCTACTCAACAAGATGTTTTACTGTTAACTGAGATTGTATTCAAATTGCGGTATGTCTTTGTAGAAGTAATATTTGAAGCTCATATTTTGTATACAGTATAGCCACATGGAACCCTGTAATAGATCAGACTGGATTGACTATTCATGTTACCAAGTTAATCTGGATGCTTATAGATTATAGTGTGCACTCATCTACATTGATCTGTTGAACTATTAAATAATTAAAGGATTCTTAAGATACCATCTTGGCTTTTGCATTGGTAGCCTGCAGGGAGCACTCTGACAAAAGAAAAGTGAAGACATGGTTCTGTTCTTAAAAGCCTTAAGTTTGTAAATCAACATCTGAGAAAATTTTTCATTTTACTTCATTTTATTTACAGTAAATTTGAATTATTATTTTATTACATACATGGAAAGATGTTGTACAAATAAGATATGTGCTAAGTGGATAAGTACTTTTGTCTTGTTATATATTTAGGTTGAGAGGATTAAGGAAAGAGTTGAAGAGAAGGAGGGTATTCCCCCTGCACAGCAGAGATTAATTTTCAGTGGTAAACAAATGTAAGTCATATTTCTGTACTCTTTTAATGATTATGACACAAGTAACTCTAGCCCATGATGATAATCAGACGTACGTGATGGAAATTATTGAAGTGTGCTAAGAGTTTCAAGTTAAAACACTCTACAGGGTGGTCCACAAACAAAAATACAAACATTGCCAATTCGCACTTTATTGCCAATCAACAGAATGTTGAATGATATTCTTTGATGTACTGGTAGCCAGTGCAGATCCCTCAGAAGAGGGGTGATCTGTGAGAATTTGGAGCAACCACAAATCAGTCTGGCTCAAGTCTATTGCACATACATGTAGGTCGAAATGTAGTACATACATGTAATGTGACAGAGAAATGAAGAGTTAGTAAGATAGTTTGAGTTTACAACCTAGCTGATATGTGCATAAGCCTTCACCTGCAATTTGTGAGTAGTTGCTAGATTATAATTGGGGGAAATCTGCTATGGTTTGGATTTGTGTTGTGTGCTTGGAAAGATACATTTCATCATGATGTCTTGAAGAAACAGTTTTATACAGAACACATGCAGTGACTTTTCAGTCCTCCCCAAATAAATTTAATGAAGTCACTCAACCAGGATTTCTTCATAAATTTTTGTCTTTCTTTTTTGCATAAAAGTGGCAAAACTTCAAACGAGAAGGCATTTCTTCTGTAAAATGCATTAGTAACATCAGATGCATTTTCTGACGTCATTTAAAGATGTTACGATATAGAGCACAAAAGATTGATTTAATCTGAACGTCAAAATGACCCTAAAACTGTAAAGTATTCCATTAAGATATTTACAGTTTTATTGCCTAACCCCTTTGTTTATCTTTTGGTAATATCCTAGAATTATCCCAAATTGTTTTATTTTGTGTGTAGCCCTGCTCTTCACATGTTTAATATTTTCAAATATCAAATAGAATATCTTTTAATACCAACAAACAATATGTTCATCTTTAAATCAAGTATCATAGGTAGCTTAGCCAAATGTAGTGGCACAAAGAGACGCCTCTAGAACCACATAATTGTTAGAAATCATATTTTTATTACACAGAGATAGAACCACAATGTTAGGATTTGAAGCTGGTAAATGCATGTACCAGCTCAATGAGGCGTAATATTAGCTAAACTTTCATTCAGACATGTCAAAAAAGAACTTTAATTAAAAAACATCTCTAACTATGATGCCTTTTGCTTTCCAGACATGTCTTTTTGTGCCACTTCATTTTTGCTAAAGTTCCTTTTCAAATTTAACAAGCATCTCTTTAATTTATCTGAATATTGCACAGGAATGATGATAAGACTGCTTCTGATTATAAGGTGAATGGAGGATCTGTTCTACATCTTGTGCTGGCTCTTAGAGGAGGAAACCGATGATGGAGCAAGAATCAAAGTAACTCCATTCTAAACTGATCTCATGCCAGTATTGTATCACAGAATTATCATGGTGGTACCGTACAGGCATTGATAGGGAATATTTATACACTATTTCTTTATTAATATTGGAGGGGAGGGGATTTTTTAATAAACATCTATGATCATACCATTAGTCAAGATTAAACAAATTGATAAAATAAAGGAAAAGACAGGTATACTGAATAAAATTTTCTTCAAAGGATTCTTTGTATGAATATGAATGGTTTGAACAATTAATTAACTTGTGAAGTTTTCTGCAGTTAACCTCAGAAATTCAGAAATGGTTTAGTGAGAAAGCAAACAATTCACATTCAATTAGCAACCCCAGTTGAATTTTTTTATTATGTAGAAAATTGGTTTACTAACTAGTAATTGGTCACATGGAATATCTGTAAACAACAGTTGATTAACAAAAAATTAAACTATTCAAGTTCATGATGATATTTTCCCATATATTTCAACTTAGTTGACAAATTGATGTCCACACAGACTTGTAGCATTTGATTACAGAAGGAATCCAATATGTCCATACAGTCAGTAAATAACCAATCAGAAGCTACCTTGTTGAAAGGAAGGTTCTGATTGGTTAATATGAGTGACGGTAGTAGTCAAGTTTAAGTAATTCATAAGAGATCCAACAAGTTCATACAGTCTGTAAATAACCAATCAGAAGCTACGTTGTTGAAAGGAAGGTTCTGATTGGTTAATACGAGTGGCTGGTCAAGTAGAAGTATTGTACAGCAAGCTCAAGTATCTTGGAAGAGCTTACATCACAGATAATTGTTTTATTTGTTGAAGTGCTCGCAGTAGCATGCTTTCCTCCATGGACAATATGTATGCTTTACCTTGTGAACCTTTGTTCTGAAGATGTCAAATCGAGGGGTTAGTGTCACAAAGACGTAACTCCATTTTGGCCATTTTTGAGAAAAAGTGGTTCATGTGTTACTGAGCACTAGGGCCTTAAGAAGTTAAGTCTATGTTTCACTAGCCAATGACTTCAATGGGCTGTTGAGATGGCGTTGAGACTTTGTGTTTCCTGGAAAGCCCACATTTTTCTGAACATTTTGATATCAAATACTCATTTTGACAAAATATGGAGTTACGTCTTTGTTTCACTGAACCCTCAGAATGCTCTTTTTCTGTACATTTTTTCATGAATCCTAACAGTCTTTTTGTGTAGCTGGCATTCATAATACTGCTGGAGTTGCTCAAGTTCTGCCATCTGAACACTTTTATTGAAAATAAGCAAACGTAGGTAATTTATGAAGCATTACGGTCAAACCAGAAAATTGAGAATTTCACAAGTGGACCAGATTCACTTTAAAGTGTACAATCACCTGGAAAAAAAATTGTACATAACTAGAACGTCTAAAATCCACCTCAATTTTGTTCACTTCAATGATTTTTTTGGTAAATGGTTTAAGAGTATGAAGGATTTTGAATAATGCAAATTGTCTATGAAAACATTGTGTGATGCTCTTGTAAAATGAGATTTTCATTTTTAGGATAAATAATATGAATCACTAATTCACTATCCAGTATGTGTATATATTATTTAATTGAATTTGTAATTTCAAAGGAAAAAGTGAACCTTTATGATGTTCTCATGGTGTAGCAGTTTGCTCTGCACTACATGCATTTTTTAAACAAAGGCTTGATTTAACTCTGGTGATATCGATATGTGCTGAAAAAAACACACGGTACAATGAATAATTTTTTAATTGTACTCATTCATAGCTGTTATGGAACCTAATCACATGCTCTTAAAGTTCTGAGAGACGAATGACTCCAATAGCTAAGATGTTTAGTTTATACAATAAAGATATGGTAGCTGGAATGTGGAGTGCCATGAGGGTAAAATCTGACGGACAGCGCTATACAAGAATCCATCATTATTATTATTATTTAAGTTTTTTCTCCTCTTCTACTGATTAAGTATGTATAGCGATGTAAGAAACATGAACATATGCGTTACTCAAGTCGGCTTGCTTGAATCTGTTACAGATTAATTTGTAGTTTCTCTGTATGTACATGCACTTGTAATACTTGATGTAAGGAACATGATATGCTTACTTATAAAACTGTTGATATACATACAATATGTCAGAAAACATTTTTTTCCCCAGGGGGAGATGGAGAGAGATGAAGCGAAGAGAGAGAGAAGAGGGAGAAAAAGGATGAAACAAAATTGACGAGAGACACAGAAAAGGTCAGAGAGAAAGAAACAGAGAAAAAGAGGGAGTGAGAGAGACATACACAGAGAGAAGCAAAGAGATGAAGTAAATTAGGAATACATTTTACGCAAAGTAGATTTATACATTATGGAACATATGCTGTGGTAAACTGTCGATATATGGTTGATATATGGTTTATATGGGAGGGCGAAGAAGGGTGGAGGTTCAGGTCATAAAAAAACGTGAACAAACAAGTAAGTCATTAATCGGGGTGTCAAGAATTTCTAGATATGATCCATCTTTGCCTTATTTTATTTCTTTCTTTCACAAGTCCTTCCCTATTTCTGTCTATCTTGCTCTTTCCCTCTTTCTTTCTTTCTCTCTCTCCCTGGCATACAACCATAACAGTTTATCCATATTCTCAAACAAGCAATTAATTTGAATAAATAATACTTGTGTTATTAGATGAAAGAGTGGAAACCATAAAAAGAAAGTCGTAGAAATATTTTGCTACGGTCACAGAATTAATTTTGTTTGTGAGAATTGTTTGGTAGTTTAATTCAACATTTATTAAAAAATCTTAATTTTTGTTTTGTTTAGAATGCTGAAAATGGCCTTGTATAAATAATTCAGATCAAATGCAGCCAACTAAAATACAAATTATAATGATTACAAAACTTTGTACAACATCAACCAATAAAAGCAATTAATTAAGTACACTAAATTCAATTCAATTCAATTTATATTTTTTTGTTTCAAAAGGAAATTTGATGTGTTTACATGCTATATTCACAGAAAAAAAATAGAATAAAAATTACATGTGACATGAAACATACAACATACAACAAGTATAGAGAGAATAAACATATTAAACGTAGCACTTTCACATCATATACCGGTAGATATTTCTCTAAGTTTACATTATATTCAATGTTTGTTCATATAGATATAGAGTAATTACAAACACACTAATAATGATTATTATCATTATTATTGTTATTAGTTTGACACATTATATCATAATAATAAAATATTGTTATAAAGCAAACAATAAATACAAACATGAATCGGTATATATCCTAGTAAATTACAAATAATGTTCATATCTTCTGGGGGAATGCAATACACTATTCTGATAAATCCACAACAATTATTGTCCCTTTATAAATGGAACCTAAAGCAACATTCTCTTTAAGAGCAGACAAATTGAAATATGATATATACATCTACACACTGAGAAATACCTGAACATCTTATGCTTTAAACTCAAAGAATAAACTCACACAATAAATTTCTACATTTTGGTATCTTTTCAAGATAAAATCTACATGTAAGCAATCCACAATCAGTTTTGCTTAATTGCATAAATAGATCCATCTATGTACAATCACATACACAATAAGCTTACATTTAGGAAATAATGTAATATTTTCCTTGATCTCCAAATCATATGCAATTATGCATATACACGCAGCTAAACGAAACTGGTCCCTCCGACCTTTGGTTGCAATGTTGTATCTATATTAACCAAACTATACTGGGTATGTTCTTATCGTTGCTCATGTTTCAAGGAACTTATGATTAAATAACGCAGCACGCTCCTCTGAAATATGACTCTCTTGCTCTTTGTGATGTAAACAAAATCAGAGATAGATGAAATCAAGCACTATTAATAAATCCTATAAAGTAGAGGATTTTCTTTGGAAGAACACTTTAGATATATTTGTTTAAAAACAAATAGAGATTTGTTTGACCTAGATATTTGATAAGGAATGACAAGATCAGACATAGGCCCAAATTCACAAAGGAGGTTTGAATTTAACCCATGGTTTAAATCTTCATTTACATAAATCATGGTCTAAAATTAGAGCAAAATAAGCGGACACATGGGTTATGTAAATGAGGGTTTAAACCATGGGTTAAGTTAAACCTCCTTTGTGAATTTGGGCCATAGTGTTCAACAGCACTTGAATTCATATTTACATGGATGCTTGTAATATTGATTCTTTTCTACATAAACAAAAAGTATAATCATATTATCCAAAACAACTGCATGTAAAACAGACAATTTCCAGTACCTGAAAATATAATTGAAATCCAACTGAAAGTATAAATGAACTAAACATGTCATCAGACAGCTTTCCTGAGTTAATTTAATTTGAAAGGATTTTTGGCAGTCCTTGTTTGATCTGAAGTATAAATGGGGAACAGGCCTCTATCAAGCTTTTAACAGACTCCATATTTTCAAGTTGCTCGATGAAAAGAAGAAACCAAATTGGCCATTGACTATTCCTTAATGGGCTCCTCTCCTTCTGCTTGACGAAGCCTCTGAGAGGCACTGGACAGCGGCCCTTGAGGTCTTTCTTTGCTTCAATCTGCTTGATAGGGACCTCTCAGAGACCACTGTGTATGCTTCAAGACCCTCTCTCTCTCTGTATTTACTCTGCTTCATGAGAATCTTACAGTGGTCTTAATCCTTTGAAATATTCTCTCTATTTTCAAATTGCTGGATGGCAATCTTTCATAGGCTGGTATCCTCTCATTTGAGACTGCTTGGTAACACTATTTCAGAGGCCAGACTCTCTTGTCTCCAAACTGCTTCATGGCACCCTCTAAGCAGCTATTCTGTATCTTTTGAGACACCTGCTGTCTTGAACTACTTGATGAATACCTTTAGGAGTCTAGGAGGTGCTATGTATCCTTTGAGAGACTCTCTCTCTCTTCAAATTGTTTGATGACAATCTGTTGGAGGGCTGTGAGGAAGTCTGGTAACGAGACGTGTGATGTCTGTTACAAAGAAAAAAAATGAAAAAGACAAGGAACAATAATTACTAAAAAAAAACATTAGTATCAATTTATCAACAACATGGTCACATAAAATATATCCTTAGCATAATGAAAAATACGATCAGAGAGTGAAACATATTCCCTCTAGTTGGTCATCATTTCCCAGATGATTAGATGATGAAATCATCATTCATATAAAAACTGAAAACTGTGATTGCAGCATATCATGAGAAATTAACAACTTCCTGATACAAATATGGAGATGAAATCCGGCTTACTTGCAAGAACATAGCATGTGCCAAGAAGGGAAGTTTCCTAAGTGTTCGTCCACTCAGACCTACACTCTCCCTGTAGAAAAAAAGAAAGACGTAAAACAGCCATTAATTACTATTTCTACACATAATGCTACTTACTCAAACTAAATTTTCCTGATACTGAAATGTAATTCACAGTAAGAAAAAAGAAGAAGCCACATAAAAAAAAAAGTATAAATGAATGGCAACTGTGCGCGACAAATGACTTGCTTTGTGTTATAACATACAGAAATGTGAATGGTATTTCCTGTGTCATATATGAGGTAAAACAAGCCAACAACAAACAAGGATAAACAATTTCTAGCCAAGAACTACGGAGTCTTCTCTGGAATACAGAAAAAAAAATCACATGTACGTTTTTGAGAAATTTTTATAACAGTACAATAGACAGTACAAGTAGAGATAGACAACTCTTCTTCTTCTAGTATAGTTCTTGTCCTCTGTTGGCGTATTATCGTACCTTGTGCTTGTCAAGTGCAGAGCGTACAGTGCAAGTAAAAAGGCTCTACAAGAACTCTATGTGCAGTCAAAAACAGTCTGCAGCTCAACAGAGCTTACTATGTGGTATCTTTCTGCATGAAGAGTTCAAGGAGGTGCAATTGATGACAACTTACTTGGCAATTTTTAGAAGGAAGAGACTAGGTGCGGTGACGGCTACTTCCTTGAACTTCATAGCTTCTAATGCATCTAGAGGTAAGATGTGCTGTGATGGGCTGATCACACCTTTCTACAATGTAGAAGTAATAATAATAATAATAATAACAACAATAATTATAACAATAAGAAAAACAACAAAAAACAAACAAGGGAAACGCTCTCGGCGGTCTCGCCTGCATTACGCAATTCAAAATGATGAAAAATTGAGGTTGGGACATTATTTATAGACAGGGTGGCTCATCAGCAGCCCCCTCCCTCAATGAAATCCTCTGAATATAATCAGCATTTTAAAGTGAATATTGACCAAGAATCATCGGAAGAATTATTTACTAATTTGTACCAAGATTAATAACTTTAATGGCTGAAAAAATATGAAAAATTGATTTTAAATTTTTTTTCTTCTTTAAATCCTGAGCTTGACTTTGTGTCATAAGATTTGTGATACTTGATAACCCTTGTGTACAAGTTTCATGGAATTGCTACGCAGGCGAGACAAAAATAACAACAAAAATGATAATAATAATACTAATAACAATAACATGTCTCGTTTTCCTGGGCTAGTCTCATCAGTATTAACACTGTTCTCCCTGAGGGCACTGCAGTCACATAATTAGCCCGGTGGTTCAGCTGCGCTACCATGCGAAGGCACTCAAGAAGTTGAGGGATTCTTACTACCAGGTACCTATTTCCTACACCTCGGTGGAGAGTGGCAACATAATCACAATAACATTGATGGATGAGAGCAATGCCACTATGTCCTGTCAAATTTACTGATCAAGGATGGTAACTTTGACAGCATACAAAATATCCTGCCAACAGAATCTCATTTTTCTTGAACAAAACAATGCCAGAGTAAGAAATGTTAATGGCAATTGTTAAGCATTTCATAATAAGTTTCCAACTTAATTTTGTTTACAAAACATTGTCGCAGAACTTCCATTCAAGAGACCATACCTTGAACTTTGACAAAAATTAGCCTCACATTGAGCTGTTAAGTTTTTAAATTTAAAGCATTGTAGTGTATGCAACTTCTTCTCAACTTCTTTTTATTCACAAGACATGGTTCTCTATCCAGGGCCAACTTCTGTAAACGCTGTTATTTTCGCTTGATTAATTTTTCGCGCCGAGGGACCCCGGAAACACATTCACTGGTTCTTGCACGCAATTCAGCCCATTCACAACACCAAAAAAAAGTTGTGCTTAGTGGAGTTATAAAATTTGCGCTTGCCTATCTTAGCTCGAAGTCCGCGAAAAATTAATGTACCGCAAATATTTCTACTATTGCAGTACCCCATAGACAATTATCTCATGTCCATTTTGTATCAAGATGATTTGGAGTAGTTTTCCAGGGTAGGTAAGGTAGTTGTAATGGATGGTCTGATATGGCACAAACACATGAAAACTATCGTTGGGACTACAGATCATCACTATTCCTGCACTTCAATGTGGAATACTAAATAAGGCTTTGTTGTGCCATCTAAACAGATTGCTCTTACCTTCATGAGTTCAGTTAGGCAGGATGTGAAGATGATGAAGATAGCATGTGCTGAAGGAGGTCCAATGTACTGCTTGATATCAGCTCGGTCTATGAATGCTAGATCTATAGCCTCTGTGATGTTTGATGTAGCAAGGATCAATACGTTTGGGTTCCTGGAAGAAATAACATAAATGATGATCAATCAAAAATGATTAAACTGTTATAGAGCATGAATGTAATGATAACGAAGGCTAGATATACAGCTTCTGAGAAGTATGATGTGGCAGAATTCTACTTGATGGGATTGAAACTCAGTGTAACAGGGCCATTTTCAGTTTACATGATGAACGCTGCTTTCATCATCTTCTATGAAATGTGTGAACGTATATGACGGGCCGTACAGGCCATTATTCGTACAACTATACATCCATTAAATGGATGTATAGTTTTATCCAGTCAGAACGCAGGAAACTATGCAACCATACAACTATGCAACTATCCATCGAATAGTCTTAACCAATCAGAATGCGGGAAACTATGCATCCATACAACTATGCAACTATACAACTATACCTCCATCGAAGCACTCGTGAATGCATGTCTAGTTTCCTGCGGGCGGGCGGAAGTGCCATAATTACATGTATGTAAAACTAGGCAACTATACATCCATCGAATGGATATATCCAATCAGAACGCAGGAAACCGTGCAACCTACCTCTTGATGATATCAATCTGTGTTAGTAGAGCATTGACAACCCTGATAGCGTCTGATGGTTCAGTTCCTGCCAGTGCACTCTTCCTTGCCGATGTCAGACTTTCAACCTGCCAGTAAAGCATACATTCAGATGTAAGGATTGCTTCAGAAAAGCACCATGAATGATTGAAATAGAAAAATAAAAAAATATACCGAGCATAATAAATTAAACTTTAAATGTATCTTTCTTGTGGCTCATGAAGCAGAAGTTGCTTTAAAAATTCTTTGGTAGGGTATTTCCCTATCAGTACAAAAAGTTCAGATTGATTTCTAAATCAAAGTCATATTCATAATTCAGTTTCAAAGAGGAAATTCCAAAGCTAAAATTCATATGGATTTTGAAGATTAAATTAATGAAAAGAGAAAGTCTAAGTTATCACTGAACATCTAGTGGTAAGAATCCTTTAGTATTGCATTGTTATTGAAGGAGCAGGGCATATAAGCAAGGAAGAAAGGAACCTTTAAAGCCCAAGTGAGACCCAACAAAACTTATATATATATGGGACAAGTTTAATAATGTATCAATAATCCCCAAAGATCTTGGTCTTTGTATTAAAGCATATTGGTTCTGGGAGCTATGAATCCATTGCTCTAGCTCACCTCATCTATGAGTATGCATACAAGTGAGTCTGGATCAGACACAAGCTCCTGAATCTTACCTCATCTATGAGTATGCATACAAGTGAGTCTGGATCAGACACAAGCTCCTGAATCTTACCTCATCTATGAGTATGCATACAAGTGAGTCTGGATCAGACACAAGCTCCTGAATCTTACCTCATCTATGAGTATGCATACAAGTGAGTCTGGATCAGACACAAGCTCCTGAATCTTACCTCATCTATGAGTATGCATACAAGTGAGTCTGGATCAGACACAAGCTCCTGAATCTTACCTCATCTATGAGTATGCATACAAGCGAGTCTGGATCAGACACAAGCTCCTGAATCTTACCTCATCTATGAGTATGCATACAAGTGAGTCTGGATCAGACACAAGCTCCTGAATCTTACCTCATCTATGAGTATGCATACAAGTGAGTCTGGATCAGACACAAGCTCCTGAATCTTACCTCATCTATGAGTATGCATACAAGTGAGTCTGGATCAGACACAAGCTCCTGAATCTTACCTCATCTATGAGTATGCACACAAGTGAGTCTGGATCAGACACAAGCTCTTGAATCTTACCTCATCTATGAGTATGCACACAAGTGAGTCTGGATCAGACACGAGCTCTTGAATCTTAGAAAACATCTTCATCACAAGCTTACCACTCTGTCAGGAAATTAAAAACACATGGGTTTTAATAATGAGTTCAATACCATTAGAAAAATTATAAAACAAGTAAGGTTAAAATCGGAGGGATCAAATAATGAAAAGATAAAGAATACTCTAGTAGCTCATGCATGGAATGAAAACTAATATCATTTAATAACAAATCTCACATTTATTTCCAACAATGTTTCATATAATGTCCTATTATCTAATATGCCTGTAATATAATCTATGTTTTGCCTTATTTCATTGTTATTCTGTATGATTCCATGTACATACAGGACCAATTTGAAAAAGAGCTCTGGCTGACATTGTCATCTTGTGTAAATATTTAAAAATAAATAAATAACGAATAAATATCTTTCCTAAATTTCAAAAAGTAACATCCCTCAATGACCAGTCTACAATTACAGTAATGCAAAATGAATATTAAAGGCTGTGTAGCTTGGCAAATACTGGTTAACAACTTCTTTTGGTCAACTGCTGGTAAACGAATGGACTTGATTAAAGGTAGTCAGCGACTTATTCTCTACATGGTCAGCGTTTGCGAAACAGACCAAAGTTCTCCTTCGCTTCGGTTTCGCGTATGTTGCACGCATGTGATTGCTGTGGTAGCGTCATCCGTAGTCGTATTATACCCGATTGGCCCCCGAGTCAGGCCACAGGAAAGACACATAGTCTTGTCAGTCTGCACTCCCTTTAAACACTGTTTGTTATCACTCCTTATATTTGTTTTAAATTCTGTTATGGTAAATGGTGTGAATGGGAAGTACTTACTTCAGAAAACCATCTTGAGAACAAGCTATGGCTGTTGATTTCAACAAGTTGTCCATATTTATATCTGTAATATAATAACATAAAATAAAGTACACAGAGTATTTTCTTATGTTATGTTTAGGTACCGGTACACACATTCTATCTACAAAGTACAAACACAACTTTGGATGCCTAGAACTCTCAGGATTCTGTCAATTTGACATTCCCACCTCATGGTTTTTTCTCATTTATTTGAAAATATATTTAAAAGAAAAATGTATTATTTTACAACTCTCATCAAACAAAATATGCTTATTTCACTTTCATAATTTGCAATCACACTCTAATTCACCATATAATGATGTGAATTCTTGATCTTGTATCCTCTGGGCTCCTACATTAAGACAATATATTATGACTAACATAGAAGCAAACTTTAAAAGCTTTCAGTCTAATGCATTTCAAATTGATCTTTCATGATTTAATAAATATACCATTGGCATATTGGGATGGAATTAAGATGTGATTTCACTGACCTGTCTGAAAGGCGTATGCAGAGTTTCTGTGCTAAAGCTTTACATAATGATGTCTTCCCTGTTCCTGGAGGACCTGAAAATGTTGCACAAAGTCACAAATCTTCTTTACCTGACATGTCACAATAGATAATCTATTTTCAAACTTAATATTTTTAAACTCTTAACTATCAATATTCTCATCTGAAAGTTCAAAGTAGCAAGATCAGCTGCTGACTATAATAATGATAAGAATACTGGAATACAAAGCACCTTTTCCATATGGATGCATTTATATCCTATATTCATGAACATTTTTAATGCAATATATCTATCTATCAGGCTATAGTTCATCCAGACGTTGGACAAAGCCCTCCTCATAACATTTCCATTCTCTTCTGTCTCTAGCTATCCTAGTCCAATGCAATAGATACCATTTATTAAAGATTACATTAGTAAACAAAACAGGTATTGCATTTTCTATATTCTTTGCATATACACCTTACACCTTTGTAGGTAATGTGCCTGCATGTACGGTACATTTCAAATTTGCATTTTCTTTCTTGGTTATCTGCCGGCTACACGACCTAGAATTCATCTGGTCTAAGTAGTTGAGGAAAATTAACACTTCCACTACCTTCTTTGCCTCTCTGTATGGTCACTCGTTCACAACACATGCATTTTTGCACCAAACAATAGGCACAACTTGAAGGAGGTATTGCTTTGTGCAACACAATGGCTTTGCAAAATGACTCATCCCTGGTCTTTTAATACCAATCTTGCTCTGGAAACAGTTCAATAATCTGGGAAACTTTGATAGATAATATATACAGCGTACGTGGCACAGTAATATCATTTGAGTGGCATATGAAGAGTTAAAGATCAAGCTATTGAGAGTTTTCATCATACCATGTAAGAGGACGACCCTGTTCCATGAGATAATATTAGGATCAATCTTAGCATCAGAGAAGAGGAGTGTGGTAGACGCATAGTTGAGAAGATTTAACTTGATGGAGCTGTCAAAGATTAGATTCTCCCACATGCCTTCGATCTCAGCTGTAACAAAAATTGAAGAATTTTTTGGGAGAATAATGAATTTTCACATTTAACAAAGTCATAGACATAACATAGGCAGTGAAAAAATACACAGGGGCTCGGGCGAATTAGCCCCAAAAGAGCCCCCGAAAGTCATAAAAGAGCCCCAAAAAATTTGCATAGAGTTCAATGCAAAACGAACTAAAGAGTGTTATTTTCATGCAAGCAAGTTCGAAAAGTAGCCCCCAAAATTGTATTTGTATTTTTTCCCCCCTGAACATAGGTCATACAAATCATACAATTGCACTATTGGTATGATGTCACTTCGATTCTGAGCAAAATGTAGCTATTCCTCCTTCAAGGAAGCTTGAAAGTTGAAATGCATTGAAATCTTAATCTTATCAATCATCTATTAATATTTAAATCATTGATCATTCAGATTTTAAAAGTTTGAACGTTTGTATCAATGCTATTGCAAATTCTTCCAAAATCAGATCGTAATATGTGTGGTAGAGGTGGGCTTTATGGTGGAATTATTTATTGACATAAGTTTACCTGCTGGGAGAAGCCAGTGATTTGCGGCGGCGAATTCTTCGTCTTCTAGTTCCTCTGCAGCAGGTCCTTCTTCATTCAGCTGGAACACACTCACTTTCAGTTTGGACTTTGTGAAATCTATCAGCTAGCATGCACAAGGAAAGATAAATGGTTTATTTAATAACTTATACAGTTAAACCTGTCTATAGCAACCGCCAAAGGGAAACACAAAAAGTGGTCTTCGTAGACAGGTTTCTTTATTTCAATGAGAAACTATTTTCAAGGGAAACAATAGATGTGGTCTTTTTAGACAGGTGGTCACTATTAAAAGCAGGTTTGACTTTATATCAGTTACGTTGTGAACAATGACTCACAGAGAAGCTTTCATAGAAGCTAATCCTTGGAAAACTATCCATCCAGGAAAACTGGTAGTCTAGGGTAATTACCATCAATGTATTTCTATCTGATCCTGTACCATACTGGAAGTAACAAAATTCATTACAATTATCTATCCTCAGCGGGCACAGTAACTATTTTGTCTGTAGCTGACAAGGTGGTAATTATCAAGGCTAATTGTTGTGCCTGTGGAGTCGTAATCCTTGCCCTATTTTGAAAAACAGTTCAATATACAGGCAAATCAAGAAACAAATTATTGATCAATAAATGTATTTATAGTAAATCAAATGGTACAAAACTATGTATTCATTACATGTATAGTATTACTGTATACGGAACTGAATATTGTCTTCTAAGAAAACTATTGAAAAATGTTTCTGTGATTTAATACCCTGGCATTAGGTATTTATTTGATTTTAGTACCGGAAGTTATGCACAGATGTACATATTTGCAATTTTGCATCCCTTCCATTGTTTTATCAAGGCCCATATGGCTTCATACACAATAAAAGGTATCTTCAACACATTTCAAGGATTTTTTTGGGTGTAAAACTGGTTTAAATTTCATCTTACTGTTTTCTTGTGACCACTCTGTAGCTCTGTATCACAGACAGCCACCGAGATGACATGCTGGGATAGGAAATGGTCATCAAATGAAGTAAGTTTGGTGTCTCCCACCGTCGTACCCAGTTTGTGTAGGAGGTGCAGTACGTGCTCGGATATGGTCTCAGTCTTTGCAGTACTAAAGGGATTTTATATTGGAAAGTTTATTATAAATGGTTATTATTTACCTTGAGTACAATTTCAAAATATGGTCAACATAAAAATTCAAGTATAAAATCAGTATAAAATCATTGTTTGGATATATGAAAACACTAAAATTATACTTTTGTTCTTCGACACCAGGGGGCTGTTTCCCATTGCACACTTGGGTGGGGAGTGGCAAATGCAGATTAATGTCTTGCCAATAGAAATTAATGATGTGGCTGCACACGAACCATGTGATCCACAGTCCAAAGAAATATCCACTAGACCATGACACCTCCACAAATCATTAATGCTGGATGATTTCTAAGCTTCCCTAATTTCATTGAAATAATTGAGCTTCTTTGTAAAAATGATGCTAGATCTATATTGCTCACCTATTTGAATGCTGTAAGACTTCAACGTAAACTGTATAGCCTAGTTCCCACTCAGGCAATGCCTCTTCTAAACCTTGGATATTATACAGTGCTCCTATGTTCCCAGCCATGTTCTGAGCTGGAATGTGAACAGATCCATTCACCCGAGTATTGCCAGACGAATAACCATTATTCTCCAGTACTCCTGCCATCTAGGATCTGTCAGTAGATCTACAAACATCAATAACAACAATGATAATAATAATAATAATAATAATAATAATAATAATAATAATAATGATGATAATGATGATAATAATAATAACAAAAAAAATTATAATAAATTAGATCTAGATCTAGATCTAGATCTAGTAATGAGAAACCAGTCGAGTTTGACCCTTTTTATTTTCATTAGATCCTAGACTCTATTTCTCACCCAATTTCAAAGAAAATTTCGTCACTAGATGTCTAGATTTAGGTAATTCTATGTTCCTCTTTGCATCGTAGCCATCAGATATTTTAAATTTTCGACCCCGGGCCCAATTGCAACACTGGCCAACGACACTAAAAACCTGCGCCTGCTAACTAACCCTGGCCTGCCAGCGCCAGCGGCCTGGGCCTAGCCTCGCCATTGGACCGGGCGCGCAGGCGCGCTCCAAGGAAGGGATTTACCGGTACTGATTGTAGAAATTGTACAGACGAACGTGAACGTAAACATCTGGTAAACGTCGCGTCGTCGTGTTTGGTGTCAGTTTTCGAAATACTTCAAGCTTAAAACACTTTCTATTATTACCTTTTGGATTTTCACTTGTTCAAAAATATGTATTTCCTGACTTGTCGGCCATCAACGCAAACGTTCAAATTACAGATCCTGTTAATCTTCTGTTTCGAAGTTCGAGCTAGAAGAAAAATTCAAAGAGACCGCGTACCGCGAAATCGTAATCTTGAAATGAAGGGATTATAGTGTCTCCAAAACATCGAACCGAAAAAGGAAAAAGATTTTTTTCTTCAAATCTCGGTTGACATTAATTAAAAGTAGCGTGCGATATAAACTAAATAAAATGTAAAATTATATATTCGGTTATTATTTCGTTGCCATGAATCACCCAGATTTTGCGAGTAGGGAAAACAGACACTTAATTTGTAATGGTATTAATTTAATTTCAAAAGGCCTTACAAATACAATAGATAAGCCATGCAGCCCGATATTCATCATTATAATTATGGCAGTGGCGGATCTATACGGGGTGGGGGGGGGGGGGGGGTGGGGGTTAACCCCCGCCCCCTTGGGCTGCCAAGTGAACTTGTTACTGTTACTTGATTTAAAAAGACGTTATCGTACACTGCTATATAGTGTTATGGTCTCCATTGTGTTAGTAGATGCCATGCAGGAAAACATCACGAAAACTATATAGGATATAGTTGATCGAGTTCTTGTTTCAGATAGCATTAAATGACTTCAAAGTGCATGGTTATTGCTCTTATTCTTATTTATGACATTTTCTAGTGCCCCTTTAAGACCTAAAATTGCTATGAAGGTAATTTTAGACCCCCAAAAGTGTGAAATTTAGCCAAGTACGATCATACCTCAACTCCACTTTCCACAAAAAAATATGGTGACCATTATAATTAATTAATTAATTAATATATTTAATAACAATAGGTGAGCCGGCTGGTTGTGCGTATAATAACCAACACGAAAAGCCAACAAAAAGCCAACATCGGCATTGACTGAAATAAAACGTATAAGACGCTATGCCGTTTTTTCAACGGCTAGTTCAAATTATCGAATATTTGTGGTGGTACACAAATTTTAGAAATGGTTATATTTATGGAAATGGGGAAATTGCTCTTAGTTGCTTGAAATTAGGGGCCCGTTTAATTATGAGAGGAAAGGGGGACACTTATTAGAAAGAAAAAGAGCAACGGTCAAAAAGTACAAAGGTAATAATCAAAGGTGAAAATGGGGCACTTCTTACACCTACAAAAAGAGGCATGCACCAGGGATGAAAAGGAAATGGGCATTTGTCGACGGAAAAGAGGCACTCATCAGATTTTGGGGTATTTATCGGAGGTGAAAGGGGGCTCTTATGAGAAGGGGGTGTGGCATAGAGATATATGTTAGTAGTATATATCTCTATGGGGTGTGGCTCTTATCAACAACAAAAAAGAGGCACATGTTAAAATAAACGGGGCACTTATCAAAGATGAAAAGAGGTAATTATGAAAAAGGGATAGGTTCCTCATTAGCCGAAGAAAAATCATTGTTAAAAGGGTAATTATGAGAGGTGAAAAGGGGCACTTATCGCATCTGAAAAGGGGCACTGGCCGTACATGAAAAGAGGCACTTATGAGAATGAAAAAGGGGCATTAATGATAAAGGGAAATGTGCATTTGTTGAAAGCAAAGGGGCACCGATCAGATTTTAATAAGGGCAATTATCGGAGGTGAAAGGGGGCTTTATGAGAAGGGGGATGTGGCTCTTAATCTTATCAAAAAGAAAAAGAGGCACAATAACGGGGCACTTATCAAAGATGAAAAGGGGTAATTATGAGAAGGGTAAGTGGCACTTATAAGAAGTAAAAAGAGCATTTATTAGGAAGGAAAAGGGGGACGTGTCAAAATAAAAGAGGCATTTATTATGAAAAGAAAAGAGCACTTATCGGGAGGGGAAGGGGTACTTGTCGAAATAAAACGAGTATCTCTCAGAATTGAATAGGGCCATTTACAAAAGATGAAAAGGGGTACTTATGAGAATGAAAAGGAACTATTTTCTTAAATGAAAGGGGAATTTCTGAAAAGGAAAAGGGGCTCTATTTAAATGGGGGCACTTATCATAAGGAAAAGGGCACTAATTAAAAAGGAAAGGGGGGCACATGTGGAAATATAAGGTGCGCCTATTCAAGTTCAAAAGTTATTAAAAGGGGGAAGGGTCACTTTTTACAAAGGAAAAGGGGAACTTGTCAAAGCAATGGGGAACCTCTCAGATTTTAATAGGGCACTTTTAATAGGAGAAATTCAAAATGGACGCTTATTGCAAAGGAAAATGGAAACTTGTCAAAGGAAAAGGGGTACGTCTCAACATAAAAGGGGCACTTATCAGAGGTGGAAAGGGGAAGGTGCACTTTTAAAAATTAATAGGGGCACTTGTCAAAGTAAAAGGGGCACTTTTCCTATGTAAAAAGGGGCACTTCTTACATAGTGAAAGGGTCACTTTTCCTATGCAAAAAGAGGCACATTTAGGGTACTTGAAAAAGTGGGAGGGCACTGTGCCCCCTGCCACCCCCCGCCGGAGCGCCGCCTCTGCTACCATATCTCTGAAATTTTATTTCCTCATCAAAATACCCGTGGTGATTTGGGCATTTTGTCGTTTCTGATTGACGTTTATATTCCAAAATATGTTTTCGATATAACTAAAATACACTCGCGTGCACCCGTTTGCAAAAAACACTATACTAGATGATCAAAATGTCCGGGGGTACGGAATATAGGCCGAGAGGGAATATGCCAATTGCGGCGCCTTGCCCCTTTAGTGGTAAAAGGGCATACTACATGACTCTCTCTCTCTGTCTCTTTTCCTGTATGTCTTCTATCTTTCACTCTTATAAATATATCTCCTTTCCGCATGCAGTCTTCTCTGCTGCCATTCAATGAGGGGGGGGGGGGGGGGGTGTTTAAGCGAACCCGATTATAAATAGCGACCCAGGGTGTAATAAATGTAAATTTTCTATTAATTTATCACTAGCTCGATCCACAGACAGTGGAAATACGTGTTTTGCGATAAAACACGGAGCAAGCACTTATAGTTTGAAGAAATCTACTCTGTCTGTTTGGAATCCTACACTATTGCCATCCTACTCATATCACGTGGACGTCTTTTGTTATTTATTTTATTAGAGATTAAGTTCAATTGTACGTAAATACTTATGCGACCGAGTGCCACTAAATTGGGGGTGTGGGGGATGGGGGGAGCTTTGCTATCCTCAATATCAACCCAATTACTGCTGCACCCCATCACCCCACCCCCTCCCCCGGCCACTTCTCGCGCCGCCGTCATGCACGAATCACCGCCCCTGTCGATCTCCAATTATAGAGAGAAAGAGAGAGAGAGAGAGAGGGAGAGAGAGAAAAAAAAAAGAGAGAGAGAGAGAGAGAGAGAGAGAGAGAGAGAGAGAGAGAGAGAGAGGAGAGAGAAGAAGAAGAAGAAGAAGAAGAAGAAGAAGAAGAAGAAGAAGAAGAAGAAGAAGAAGAAGAAGAAGAAGAAGAAGAAGAAGAAGAAGAAGAAGAAGAAGAAGAAGAAAAAGAAGAATTACGTAAAGTTATAAAAATTCTAATTCTATAGGATTATTATAAATCAAACAAAACAAAGTGGAAGCATGCTATGATTAATAACACAACCTCAACAAAACAACCAAAATCCTTATTTATGAAAGGAGATACAGCATAATATGAAACAACAATTTAAATGCATTTAAACTTTTGGAAAAGTGATCGGGGGGGGGGGGGGGGGGGAGGATGAAACGGGGAGTAATAGTATGCCATCATTTACTTGTAACCAAATATTCACCTGCCTGTTTGTTCTCAGTAGGTGGTGATGTTCATGTCTTTAAAACAGTCATATCTTTTTTTCTCTTTTTTCATATTTTTTTTTATCACAGAGGTAATGTCTGTGATCCAAATTGGCAACACTTAGCAAAGTTAGCACTAACCTGTCACTAGAAAGTTTACTAGAAACAGAAAGCTAGAGAAAATATTTGTATTATTTAGCATTAAGATAAATAAAATATAATCATGTTAATAATCAATATTTAAATATATTTATCATCTAAAAATGATATTTATTACTTACTAGGTATAATTTATTAAAAATGTACAGATACTACTAGGTCGAGGTTCTATTGTGCAGCAGAGGGACTTTTGTTCTAAATCGACCCGACAAAGCTATCACAAAAAGTGAAAATGGGGAAAAAACACAAGAAGCATCACAGATCAGAACGAAAGGAAATTGATGGTAAGTTATTTGAATTTGAATGTTGACATTTGAAGGTTTAATTTGAGTTCGCTGTGTACTTTTGAGAGTCTGTTTGTTAGCTTCAACCTTCAGAAGTTCAGCCTCCACTCAGGAGGCTACATGAAAAAGCACGTATGGGACTGATAGAATATCTAAGTCTATTGTTCCCTTATTTAGACCAATATTCATGGTCGGCCTTTGTCTTTAAATTCGACAATATTTCGAAATTCTGTCACTATCTTTAGAAGGAGTTACTGTGCCAATTTGATACTTACTTTACGACAATTATAATCATTGAATTGAAGGGTCGACCAAAGTTCGCACTGCACTGTTTTTGTTATTTTGAAAATAGATCTAGATAGATCTATACCCGAATCTGAAAAATCGAGTATATTACGCGTGTCTGTAAGAAATATGGGTACCATAAAATGAGCTTTATTTCAAGTATTTTTCAGATTTAGAGCCCGATTTTGTGCTAGTCGCAAGCTCAAAAGTATCTCATCGCATGTATTAAATCAATGCAGCCGCACACCGCAACGCACACACGATATCTCTGTCTAATTCAGATTCCAATATCCGATCACTGCAGTACTAGTTTTCGGCCTGGCGAGCTCCGGGGAGCTCCGGCGTGGGATATCTGCTCCGCCCGCTAGTGCTATAGATCAGCGCGGAAACGCACGGCGCGTGCGCGCGCTTCCTATTGACTTTGTACATGCGGCCGAAAACTGGTACGCTATGCCGAAAACTGACTCCGAAACAGTGAAAATTGAAATGAATATTGTCATGGCAATTCGTGATTTTTTTCTGGGATTCTTGTTTTGTTTAAATAATAATAATACTTGCTTCATGATTTGAACAAAAAATGATAATAAATAGGAAGTAAAGGGTCCAAAAAATAGGATTTTGTCTTAAGTGGCCGAAAACCGGCTCCTTTACTCTAGATCTATTAGAAAATGTGATAATGATATTCGATGTATGATTTCTCATATTTTACAGTCTGCACACATTTATCCATTGTAATTATTACTAAATGGATAGCAAAGTATTTTACTACAAATTGGTTCAACTAGAAAATTGTTTGTCAAAGGATTCCGGAGATATCGCGATCTCAAAATTTGATGTCCGTTTGGCATTTATAAAGAAATGGCAATGCGACCCATCAAAAATAAGGTAATTTCATAAATTGGAGGGCAAGATATCATACAATCAGTTGGTACCACTTCTTACTTACAATTTTGAGGATATCTGCTCTCACTCAAAATAAAGATTTCCAAACCTTTTAACCGGTATTAGTTAGTAATTTTTCAGAACGGACCAATTGACTGCAAAATTTGCTGATCTTTTGTCAATATTTTCATTATTATTATTATTATTTTCATCATTCGCCTTCGTATTCTTAATAAATCGCTATAGTAGAAGAGTCCACTAGCAAACTCAAAAGCTAGTATGCAATGTTCGTTGGATGCGGGAAGGGGTGATTAGGAATGCATTTTAAGTTTTATTTACATGCCTCTTCATGCAGACGTATTGGTGCCAATTAAGGCTTGCTCTAGGTAATATTAATATCATATTTCATATTGGTGGTGTGTGATTGAAGATCTCATCGCGTACAACAGCTTGAACAGCCTCAATGAAAATGGCAAGATGAGCTCAAGGTTAAGTCCTTATATTTCAAGTGTATCAGGATAAGAGTCAACGAGTGGGACAGTGTAGCTAGTTTCATTGATTTGATATCTAGTAACGCCTAGATTCAGTTAAATTTTTAGGCTGTTTTTGTACAAGAAATAATTGTTGTGTTTGGACTTTGCCAAAATAGTCATATCCTACATGTACATGTATGTTCTCACATTCAGATTATGTGGAGTTCAATATTTATGACATGAAGAATCAAGAATGTACATCTCATTAATGAACTTGCTCTTACAATTTGTTCAGTTAGTTTTTGTTTGGTTCTATGGTTATGACTAACATACTTAAGAATATATGTTGCCCGTTTTCCTCTTTGGGCTCAAATTTATCTTAGGTCGTTAAATAAGGTAATCATTAGTAAAACAAAGTTCCCTGAAGATAATGATTTTTCTTGACACGTAGATGGAACGCCTGACAAGCCTGACCGATCATCATCAGAGCCTCCACTCAGATTGGTTCTTAAGGTTGGACCAGAGAACATCATGACTGCTTCACCTAGCTCAGATCATTTCAGTACAGCAGCTGATTCACCAGCCACACCTGACACAGAATACAGACATTCTCATCATAAGAAGAAGAAGAAAAAGAAGAGGAATAGTGATCATGATAGAAAGAGGGTAAGAGGTTTTTTTTTCTCCATTTTACTTAGAATGTTTTTCATTGATTCTTTATTTCTTATCTCATCCATACTGATGTACAGTCAAACCTGTCTATAGCGACCACCCAAAGGAAACACAAAAAGTGGTCTGTGTAGGCAGGTGGTCTCTGAAGACAGGTTTCTTTAGTACATGTTTCAATGAGAAACCATTTTCAAGGGAAACAAAAAATGTTGTATTTGTAGACAGGTGGTCACTAAAGCAGGTTTGACTGTACCTTGTAAATAAAGCTTGCCTCCTTACCTCATCACATGATCTTCTATTTCTGTCACTTATGATAAAATAGAAAATACATTGTCAGTCATGAGGGTTCATGATTCAAGCATATCTGGACAAGCTTTTTACGTAATTAAGTTCATTAATTGATAACATCAAGAACCATAAAGCACACTCTGATTTCTGTACCAGTAGTTGTGATGAATTTAATTCTACTTCTAGGAACCCATGTGCAATGCATTGTAACTGACAATGTGATCACAGTCATTAAACAAACAAGAGTATTTATAGATCATTTCTAAATCACGTATTCATGACCCACATGTACACTTGCTTTGTTTCCTCTATGTTTTGTTCACCATCTTTCAATATAGACGGTGAAGATCTTTGTAAGTGGCTGTTTGGGTGTTTTTTCAATGTAAAAAAAAATCAATATAATAAGACTATTCCTTCATTCTTGTGAAACAAGTTTGTAATTACTGATTTATCTTGTGATGTTTGCTTTTGATTAGACATCAGCTCACTTTGAGACGAGCCAGTCAGCCACACCGGAGCCTGATACACAGGATGACGATGAGTATGAAGGGAGCGAGGAAGCCATGGAAGAAGGGGCATGGTCGGACCATCCACCCACCAAGAAAATGTTACTATCTCTCCATGAAAGACGAGCTAACCCTACAAGACATTGTAAAGATGAAGCACCAGGTAACTACAGGGCCAGGTTTCATCAAAATTTATATTAATAAAAAAAAAAAAAAAAAAAAAAAAAAAATCTGTAAAACATTTGCTCTTATCCAATCAAATACAAGGAGTTCAGGAGCTAACAGTTATTGTAACTTGTCATTGATAACAAGTTTTATGAAACTGAGACAAAGTTACCCATCTATCCTTCAAAAGTCGCTCACCTTGCAGACTTTTGCCCGTAAGACAAAAATGTATTTAATTGCTCGATATTGATACCCTTTCTTGTATTTATGTGTGAAATGACTTCTTGTGGAATTCAATGATATGTTGTATGACCGATTATTTATTTATTTTGATCACTTACGTACACGCCTCAGCTGTTGCTAGTACCATCTGTATATTCCCCAGGATAATGCTGTCGGATGAAGCCGTTGTTCGTTTGATGATTTTGCTTGTTTTTAATATTTTAAAATTGTAGTACTTCGTTATTTTTATGATGTAATCGCAGACACATGCACAGCCCAATTGAGTTAACTTTCTCTTTATAAGTGAACATGCCTTCCTATACTTAATTCTCTCCTCATTTTTTTTTCTCTCTTCCATTGACTATTTTTTCTATCCTATCAATGTTCTGTTATATAAAATGTAATTTTCATAATAATATCTATAATGTTCTTTCGGTAACTGTGTTCACTTATTATGGGCATTCCCAACTCAAGCTAGGCTTTTCAGGTTTTCGCCTCCTTCCGTATCTGAATTATTTACTGTATACTCTATGTTGAAATAATTGTGACATATATCATTTATATATACATTGTGTTTCATATTGTACTGTTGAGAAGGAAATAAATGTTAATAAATACAATACAAAGTAACAACTTAGGAAGTCTTGAACATAATAGCAGTATTCTATACAATCACTTATATCCTTAGACTAGTATTTTTTTCTGTCACTCCAAAACTTCTGTCAATTAGTGAAAAAATACATCTTTTTCATTTTGACTGGTCAAAGTATTGTTTTTCTTTCATGTAGTTCCTGAGAAGAGGCCTATACTCAAAGTACTGGAGAACCTACAGAAGACCCTTCAAAGGTAACACTCTTCACTGTGTGAATGTTTGCTAAATGTACATGTAGGAACAGGAATCATAGCTTTCATGATAAATAAGGCCAAGATTACTGCTTATGTATGAAGAATAGAAGTATTACCTTACACATCTTGATTTCTCAGAGGAAAAAAATATCTCATCAAAAGAATGTGACGAGCCATCATCGAATAGAATCTAATTTGATATTTCTGGAATGGAAAAGTTGTGATCTTATTTGGGTTTATTTTTATTAGAAATTTTGAATTCATAAAATCATTTCTCAAACATCAAAGCTTGCAAGGAACATGTATACACATCAGTATAAAATGTATTGAAATATTTGCATTACAGCTAAGATAAAGAACAGTTAAGACTCTATTTTACCCCGTTATGTTTTCAATTTCCTGTCCAGAATGTTTTTCTGGGGGGCATATCATTAATACCTTCAATTGCATAAATTTAAATTAAATGCTCTTAAACTTTATATATAGCTAAGTTGAGCTGGATTTTTGTGTTGCTCACTGTGTATTCTCTCTCTCAATCTCTCTCTCTTTCTCTCTCTCTATACATATATATTTATATATTTTTAAAATTGTATATTTTTTTAGGAAAGATGTAGATGGTTTCTTTGCTTGGCCAGTGAATGACATCATTGCTCCTGGTTACTCTAGTATTATACTACAACCAATGGACTTCTGTACCATGAAGAAGAAGATAGAAAGAGAAGATTACAACTCTATTGATGAATACAAGGTATTGATGAGGAATAAAAATAAGAAAAACGTCATATATAATGCACATATTTTTATCTAAAGGAATGATCAGAGCCCCTACAAAGTGTTTTCTTTTTAAAACCAAGAGTCAGCACTTATGTTGTTTAGCAGGGCATCTTATTTACATTGCTCCCTTTCACCCAGGTGTTGACAGGGTACATGGTCTCTTTGAGGCTGTTCACACCGCAATGAGATAGCGCGGTCTATCGTAGTACCCCCTTTTTTTCTAGCGCGCGCTAGACCGCGCTATCTATCGTGGACCACCCCCAAGAGGTGCTCCAGTGGCACGCCGTTTTGGCGCGCCGTGGCTCGCTGTTGGGCGGACCGAAACGACGTTGTACCTTCCAAACCGCAGAGATAGCGCGGTCTAGCGCGCGCTATCTCTGCCGGTGTGAACAGCCTCTTTGTAATTCTAGTTGATGAAGTTTTGTGCTAAAAGGGATATTGTTCATTGCTACACCTGACAAATAAATGTTGTGTATCACTTGTTTTTATGAAACTCACCCCTTTTTTTGACTGGCATATTTGAGGAGAAGGAGCAATGTTTTAAAAATGATGATTTTTATTACTTCATTGTAATTTGCTTACAGGATGATTTTGTGACGATGTGTGAGAATGCAATGAAGTACAACAGACCTGAGACTGTGTATTACAAGGCAGCCAAGAAGCTTCTAGGTACAGGGCTGAAAGTCATGAGCAAGGTAATATATAAATCATGATGATAGTAAAAAGAGAGAGAGAGGGAAAGAGAGAGAGAGAGAGAGAGAGAATGCTTTAACAAACCAAATGCCAAGCATTTACATACACAGAGATGTCAACCAGTATGATTAAATCATATTTAGTACGATAATAAGAGTGGAATACGATAATACAATATCACCTCTTCAAATACGATTAAAAAAAATATTTGAAAAAAAAAACTTATAAAAACCCATAAGAACCCATAAAAACAACGGAATCGCATAGAAACATGTATAAGTGAACCCCCACAACCCCAACAAAAACTTTGCTTTACAATTTTCTCATTAAATTTTAATGAAAGAGCAAACATTTTACTTCACCGTATAACCAATAAAACACTTTCTGAAATTTTACTGGCCCGGGACCGATGGGCCAGTAGTAGTTTCGAGTTTTCGTGAAAATCAGACTTTTCTCTCCAAAATCTGATTTTTTAGTATACTCAGTCTGTTTTTTTGTGTCAAGAGGTTGGCATCTCTGCATACATGTATATATCATGATTTCTGTGAATGTGTGAATGAAGAAGTTATAGTTGGTCATGAAAATTTGACCAGCGAAATAACAAATTGATATTTAATTTTCAATTGTAATGACACATTAGCCTTGAGGAATAAACCCATATTCCTCAATTTGTGTAGAATTAGCTGATAGGCTGTCGTATGAAATACGGCAAAGGAATGTGTATAAAATGAATGTTTATGCTTCTAATATCATACTAGAAACACCTGTATATGCTTCTTATATCATACTGTTAAAATTGTCTGTAAAGACAGAGAGAGACAAGAAAAGGGGTCTTCATACTAGGCAGGTAATCTTTATGTACAGGTTTTTTTTGTAGACAGGGAGTCTTCAAGTTACCAGTAGTCTCTCAAGCAGGTTTCACTGTATTTGGTAGTTGTGATAGTAGTAGACTTTACTGGATTAATTTGTTTATATATCACAAGGTAAATCGCCACAAGAGCCATATTTGACTATTGTTGATTGTTCAAATTCAAATTCAAATTCAATTTTATTTCACATCTCTTTAAAAAACACATCAAAACATATACAAACAAATCAGTATAAATTAAAACAATATAAATATAAAAGCATTCATTGACATGGTACTATGGAAGAAGGATGAAGGGTGGTGGATGCGAGGGATCAACAAAGGCCATTGGCCTGTCAAGGTTGATCCCCTTTATTAACACTCTTCAATAGAAATACATTGTACAAAATATAAAAAACAATCAAACAAACAGAAAATATAACATAGCACAATCACATAAAAAACACAACATAACTATATACATAAATCACATAAAAGGCAATTAGATCAAATAAAACTACTGTTGATTGTGTTTGAAGGAACGTCTGGAAACCATCAAAAGAGCGTTTGGGTGTGTGGATGAAGGAGAAGGGAAATCTAAATCCAGATCTAAACCTAAACCAAGTCAGAAGCTACACACAGAGAAAGAGAACACACCTCTTAATGAGAGACCAGAGTTCATGGATACAAGCACAATGGATACCATGGTAACAGATGAGGGTTCAACTACAAACCAGACGGATGCTACTGGGTAAGACACTACGTCATCTTGAGAATGCGCTTCTAAGTATGTTATGTAACAGCACATTTGCACCCTTTCAGATTAAATACAACACTGTCTCATAATCTATTGTCAGAGATAGTACAGTTTAATAAATGTCTGATTTTATAGTTCCGGTACATTATTTTGTTCCGGTACAGAGTGTGATTTCTTTATCTAAGTAAGGAAAATCAAGGACCCAAGTAAAACTGTGGAAACCATATAACTGACTTTGTAGAGCTGAGATTTTCATTTTTCACTACAGTATCATACACATAATAATAATAATAATAATAGGCATTTGTATAGTGCCGTCTATCTAGACAATGCTATTCCGAGGCGCACAAACCCTTCTATACAGGATTGAGGGATCATACATGTAGGTAAAGTTATGGAAGCTTGCTACCTATATGTTACTATTACTATGACTAGGATTTGTGTTTTATTTGTTTCTTTGATGCAGAAAATCTGAGGGTGATGAGGACATGGATGATGATGATGCCAAAGTGCTCATTCAGGAAGTATTAGAGGCAGCCAAAGCAGCTAAGGATAGACTTACAGCTAGACAACCCAAGAGCAAGGTATGTGATGCTTGTCACTGTCTAAGCTAAAGCTAAAACTATGTTGATAGAGCTTTAGGACATGTCACACCATATCTGTGGAACAAGCTACCCTGTAGCATCAAAAACATTAACTGTCAAGAAATATTTTAATTCATATTGTTTACCCAGAGCTACACACACTCACCAATTTTTGTATATTGTTTTGTAACAATTACTTACTTTTGTCAGAAAATACGCTATGAAATTTATTATTATTATTAAGTTTATTATTATTATTCTTTTTAATGTTATTATTATTATTATTATTGTTACTATTATTACTTCTATTATTATTACAATCATTTTTGTTATTATTGGTGTTGTTGTTATTAGTATCAATATTATTATTATTATTAGTAGTAGTAGTATTAGTAGTATTATCACTACTACTGCTTTTATTGATATCATTATTATTATTATTTGGCTCTTTACAGATTGGATTCCTGAGGAAAGACAAAGCTGGTACAACCACCTTGTCCGTTCTGAATCCTGATCGTGGTGAGAATGAAGAGAGTCGTAAGGTCAATCTGGGGCTGTTGACCGGTAGATTGTCCCATGGTACGGCATCTCTACCAGGATTCAAAGAAGACAAGAGAAATAAAGCTCTTCCTGGTATGCTATTACTCTTCTTGATTTTTTAAGGAAATTCTCGCAAACTTATTCATTTCGTAAGCTTTCGATTTGAGCAATCGGTTCTTGCAGTGAGCCTCATGTAAGGATACTTATTGATTTTGAAACATGCACTGCATGATTGCCCGCTTAGAGGCCCATAATCTCCTGGAATTTAAACACAGCGTTGGCTTCAAGTTTAGGGGGGGGGGGGGGTTCTTTGACTAATGAATTCAGGACCCCATCTTATAAAGAGTTACGATTGATCCAAATCAATTGTAAGTCCTCCAATCAATCACAAGTTTGCAGTCTCCTATCTCTTATGTACATAGTTGCGATTGATATCAACTCTTTATAAGACGGGGGCCCAGGTGTTGATTGTGACACCATATCATACTTCATGTTGAGATATTTTGCCAAAGCAGGTTTGTGAGTAAATTCTCATTTTTCTAATCGCCTTGTGAATGGTCTTCTGTATTAAAAGACTACTCTTCAAGTCGTTGTGAAATAAGCTCTCTACAAATATTTCTAAAGCTTAGACCAAAACATTTAGGTATGAAATCACTCCTGTTGAAGATTATGATAGTCATTTCAAGACAACAAATGTGCAATGGTTCTTATCATGTCTATTACGGTATAGTGAGCTATCTGATGTATGGACCGTTCAGTTCCTTTGCTCCTGGCTATGATTCAACCTTTGCTAACCTGAGTAAAGAAGAATCGGATCTTATCTACAGCACCTATGGAGATGAGGATGCAGTCAAATATGCAAAAAGGTAATTTGCAAGATATCTTTAATCATTGATTAATGCATTATTGATTGAGTGATTAATGTGTATTTCATCAGGGTATCATTTCAAAAAAACGTCTTAAGTACAAGTTCATTGACACTCATATGTTGAGAGTAAACTCATTTTTGAGAACTCTTGCCAATTGATATATTGTGAAAAAGCTCGCATATATTTGGCTGGGACAGCTATAGACGGTGACAGGGTCGTTGAGTTGAATTTTTTGAAAACTAATTACCCCAGAGGTGTTGGATAGCCTTTAAGTAAAGACTTTACGTAAAATTGATTAATCATAGTTTAATATTCCAGATTATTTCAAAATAGTATAGACGGAGATGAGCTACAGTTGTTATATCATTCTGTTTGATTAGTATCCAGGAGTATGTAAAGGATAGTGTAGCTGCAGATGAGCTACAGTTGTTATATCATTCTGTTTGATTAGTATCCAGGAGTACGTAAAGGATAGTGTAGATGAAGATGAGCTACAGGTGTTATATCATTCTGTTTGATTAGTATCCAGGAGTACATAAAGGATAGTGTAGATGAAGATGAGCTACAGTTGTTATATCATTCTGTTTGATTAGTATCCAGGAGTACGTAAAGGATAGTGTAGATGAAGATGAGCTACAGTTGTTATATCATTCTGTTTGATTAGTATCCAGGAGTACGTAAAGGATAGTGTAGATGAAGATGAGCTACAGTTGTTATATCATTCTGTTTGATTAGTATCCAGGAGTACGTAAAGGATAGTGTAGATGAAGATGAGCTACAGTTGTTATATCATTCTGTTTGATTAGTATCCAGGAGTACGTAAAGGATAGTGTAGCTGCAGATGAGCTACAGGTGTTATATCATTCTGTTTTATTAGTATCCAGGAGTATGTAAAGGATAGCGGTGATCATGTGAACAAAATGGTTGACAGTCTCCTGGACTCACTTACCGATGGAGAGCATAGCAAGACAAAAGAACACATCAAACAGGTGAGTTAATGACATCCTTGTGAAGAGTGAAAACTCTTTGCTTTTAGTTTGAAGATATTAAACGGTGATTGTTCATAATGTGTAGTCCAGAGTTTTATGAATAGTGAGAATAACCTGCTTGAACATTTACAAAATTTGTTGTTGTTTTTATCAATCTATTCTTATTTATACATGATTGTAGCACAGAAAAAGGTTTGCAGAAGTTCAATGCTAGTAGATCGGTAGGAAAAAAGGCGTGGAGCAGGAGTTACTTTGCTGAACCTATAGATTCATCAAGGTTTAGCTTGGATATATATTGAATAAACATTTTGACATTTTGTTATGATATGTTGACGTTTAGATGTATAGAAATGTCTAAATTACTTCATTCTTTTTACATGTACATACATGCATCTGTGAAGACAGACAAAGTAGTCTACAAGATTCGTACCAGATCGCCTACTGTGTGTAATTACTTACCAATACTTGATTCTGTAAAGCTATGACATAATTATGATAAATCTTTCTGATTGTTAAACGGTTTGTGGTTTATTGTTTGCCCATATATATCTTATTATCATAATGATATAATGAGTCAAACTAATTATAATAACAACAATACAAATAATGATAATAATAATATTGATATTGTCAATGTAAATTTAGAGAAAATATCTATATAATAAGAATGTTAATGTTTATATACACTTTTTATGTTGTATGTATCATGTCACTTGTACATTTTATCTATTTTTTCTCTGTGAATAATTCATGTAAACACAACACATTTCCTTTTGGACCAATACAATTTGAATTATGAATTATGAATTATGTCATAATTATGAAGCTGTGCGCATTGCAGCCATTGTGCAAAGTTTCTAATGCCAATCTTGGATATCTTTGTCTCTGCTCCAGAATCATGAATTGAAAGAGTTCCAAGCTGGGTTAGGAGACGCAGGAAGCAAGGTAAGAATGCTTAAAGCCCCTCCAAAGTGTTGGGAGTCCAAAATTCGACCAAAATTTGTTAGCAAATATTAACTTAAATTGTACATTGTTGTGAAAGGGTATGTCTTTTAAAAATGCACTTCTGCAAGGATTTTCCAAACAAATGTGTTTGAAGACGAATATTGATGACAGAATGCCATATTGGGGTTTACTGTTCTATGCAGAAGACCTCAAGTTTGTAATGAATAAATGAAAGTAATGACAATTCTGTATGTTGTAGGAATAGTGGTTTTCAATTGAGTTTGATTAAGAGAAACAATGTTTGTTCAAAGTATGAAAAAGTTCAGAACGTGAAGTAAAATAAAGTAAAGTAAAGGGATTTGATAATTTGACATTTTCATTAAGAACTGTTAAGAAATGTCTTGCATCCTGTAAAAATTGCATGGGAATTTTTAAGCTGTACTGGTACTTAAAAGCAAAGTGATTGGAGATGTTTTTTCTTCAGGTTTGAATGTAGATTTAACTCAGAGGGTTAAATATTCAATTTAATTCAATTAAAAGTTCATTTCCACTCAAACAGTCGAGCATGTACCGGAGTGTTGGCTCAGTCAGTAGAGCGTCCGCCTCACAACCGGGATGTCGTGGGTTCGAACCCCGGCCGCGTCATACCAAAAGACGTTAAAAGATGGGAGTTGTTGCTACCTTGTTTGGCGTTCAACAAAAAGGGATAGAGCAACGTCGATCTGGCGCTGCTCAGTGGCTGCCGGGCTCACGATCAATTGGGCAAAAAGAATTTCAGTTTCGGTTTAATAAAATTTGGAGTGGACTATTAGGCTATTATTATTATTATTATAAGAAATGAACCATAGATGAATATGTTTAGAACTGTATTTCACACATACAATTTGATAAAAAGCAGTGATAAAAAGGGTTAGATGTTTAAAAATAATGGTTGACAATGGACAACAAAAATACAAAGAAATAAATGAGTTGGAATGTAACATTGCAGCAATTCAAATAGTTTATTGTTAAATGTTCAGCTAAACCCTTAACTTTCTTTTGTATTTGTATATCCATTGATGACTTGATATATTCAATCACTACATGTATCCTATGAAGACACTATACTTTCTGTTTCTATATCCAGTCAACAAACTGTGCAGGAGGAAAGACGTCAAATCAAGATGACAAGATTGACTTTGAAAGTCTGAAGTCTCTGGCTGATGAAGGAATTGACATGTCATTCCTGCCTGGCTTAGGTAACATACATGAGCTGTTTCTTCCCTCTCCCCATCTGTCTCTGTCTCTCTCTGTCTCTCTGTCTCTCTCTCTGTCTGTGTTTCTCACATAATCTCTCTCACTCTCTGTGCGTGTCTGTGTTAAGAGGAAATTACTGTTGACTCGTTGCTTGAAAAAAGTGATAAGTACATTTATTGTACAGCCTTAAAATTCATTTGTAATCACACCTCTGATTTTTTTGTTGTAATTAAGAGGTTTAATCCAATTTAACATTGAACACTGTGTAGATTGTAGATAGTATATCAAATGTTTTAAAAGAGTATCCTCAGAACATAGGATAACACTGAATATCTCAAATAGTTGAGGATGGCACTTGTAACAGAGCTCAACTTTTGCCAGGGTCTTTGGGCTAATGAGCTCTGAAAAGTAGAATACCTCCCTTCCTTCCCCAAGAAAAACTAACAAACAAACATACTGTTATTCCACTAAAAGATAGAGGAGTAACCTCTTGATTGGTGTTTTGACAATCTCTTATAAAGGATGCTTCCAGTTTTCACAGCGAAGTGTAGAGCTTGCTTACAACAACTTTATACGATTTTTAATTTTTAAGACTTTATAATGAAAGAACCTGGCATGTGTTGATTTTTCACTCTATATGTTTTTGTGTGTGTGTTTGTTAGTGTGGAGCAGTGCTTACAATGGAGCTATATCCCTTGGCTTGTTGAATATGATTTTTCACTTTGAAGTTTTCCTTTCTTGTTTGTGTTTGTGTATCAGAGAAAGAGATGGCCATGATGGACAAGATACAGAGTGAGACTGAGAAAGAGGTGGATCAGAAGCTTGGTAAGACTGCACAGCTCATCAGGGATCTTGAACGAAGTCAGAACGAACGTCTCAATCGCAAACCTCCTCCTCATCTTCAGTACATCCAAGGTCCATCGGATCAAGAGCATGCCATAGCTGAGAAACTTACTCAACAACTCAAAGAACTTACTGCCAAGGTAAGGCTAACTTATAAGCTTATGATAACAGTAATAGTAATAATAATGATAAAACAACAACAACAACAATAATATTAATATGGCATATTGTTATCGTGCCTGGGGAGTGTTTCACAAAGACTAAGATCAACTTTAAGTTGGACTTAACCATGTCAGGCCATTTATGCCACTGGTTGCTCTCACCGATGGTCTCTCAATTATGATTTTTAGATAATACTTTTTCTTCAATAATGAAATATCAAAAACGCTAAATTCTGAAACTTTGTGACCACAATTTTTAAGTCCCTCGAGATACCAATGCCAGGAAGTGTTAGAGGAACTAGTGGCATGACAGCCTGCCATAGTTACCGGTAAGTCCAACTTAAAGTCAATCTTAGTCTTTGTAAAACACTTCCCTGATATTATGTTTCTAAGCACCATGGTGCTGTTGTCCTAGCAGCCATGATTAGGTCAAGCAAAGCACTGCTACCCAATAGAGAGCTAGGACAACAGCACCAAATTTACTTGTGGAAAGACATTATTCTATATTTGCCACTCTCCACCCAGGTGTCAAAAATGGGTACAGGTAGGAAGGAATTCCTTGAATGCTGTGAACACCAATATCAGTAGCCTAGCAGAGCCGGGGTAATATTGGAGTGCCTTGAGCACCTTGCATGGTGGATATGTGCACTATAATGATATCCAAATTTATTATTATTATTATAATTACTACTGTACTTAATACTTTTACCTTTTACCTCATTGTCCACAGACATTACCAGGTCACCTGGTCCCTACCGAGTCTGTTCGTAAAGCTATGGGTATCACTATGGAACCACTGTTAGATTCACCACCGCCCTCTATAGCTACCTCACAGACTGCTCCCAGCGAAACTACAGAGGGCAGTGCAGGTCTACCTGACGACAATGCCCTGCCGGATGACATCGCTAAGGAGCTTGAGGCGGATGATACCGGTACCACGGGGGACGAGGAAGGAAAGGGAGATGATGACGATGTTGATGCTGAGGTTGGAGATGAACTCTTGGAGCTATTGCGGGACAAAGATGAGGGATCGTAGAACCACATATCTAACCTTCTCTTGAAGGCTCTATTGCCTCATAGATGACATTCTTCTCTGTTTTTTTGTTTTGTTCTATATATCTTTTGTTTTTTCATGCAAACTTACATGTAAAAGGCAAATGCAAAATGTGATGTAGTCTTTTATACATAGCATTCATTTATGTAATACCTTAGTAACACCTATGAGACTGACGCCAGTTAGACAGGCTGCAACATACCAGCATGATTAAAGCACAATATTAAGTGATCATGCTTCTATGTCTCTGTGAGGCTCTTTTGCACCATGGAGTGCATGGAGTGACCATGGACGGTGGGACAGAGTCTCACAGAGATGCAGAAGCATGATCACTCATTTCTGTGTTTTACTCAAGCTGCTGCATACTGAACTAAACATGTTATTACCTCAAATGGCAAAGATCTGGAATCGGTCACTTTTGTATCAGCTTGGATTTAGGTTAGTGTAGTGGAGGTGTCCTGGTCTAGTGGAAACGTCACCGGACTGTGGATCACACGGTTCACAGGTCAAGTCCTGTCATGTCACTATTGTCTTTTGAAAAGACAATAATCTACATTTACCGCAATAGGCTCAGGTGAGGTAAATGGGTACCTGGTAGGAATTCCTTGAAATACTATAGTGCCACAGCAAACATTCTAAAGCCGGGTTTGATAATTTGTTCCCATTTTTCACGAAGTGACGGTAGTGAGGAAAATCCGCACGCAAATCGTATGCGATTTTCATTCACTACCGTCACTTCGTGAAAATAGGGATGAATTGTTGAGTGCCAGGAGTGTCAAATCTGACAGACATGAGCGCAATACAAGAACCCACTGTTAATGTTATTATTGTTGTTATTATTATTAAACCATAATTAAACAATGTTTGCATGCAACGATGAGATTGATTGGCCATTGTCATTTGGCGATTGATTTCAAACCTTTGTGCTACGATCAAAGCCCAGAAGTCGGTCATGTACATATCAATGTCCACCATTAACTCATTGCCATGCACTGGCAACTAAAGTTTGTGTATTCTTTATGTTTTATTCATCATTTTTTGTATTAACAGCTTGCCTTACTGATGACTTTGCTTGTCCAAACCTTAGATCATTGTTGATAGTGTAGGCCTACAATCATTTAATTAAATTATTGAGCATGGTATCCTGTGTGGAGGATGTTTCCAACCAAGTGATATTTGGATGAAAATGCCATGTTTTGTAAATGTACCTGTATTTATGTAATAAAAGCCATTCCATGTACAGATAATTCTTGTATATCGTTATGTTTTGTTGTATGCAAGTATTACCAGGGGGTAGGGAGGGGGGGGGGGGGGGGGGTGTATGGGGTAAGCCACGGCTTGACACTAACAGGCGCCCATACATATGGGTACCAAAAATCTAAGTTTGGACCCCAAGAAATTTGAAATCTTTGGGGGAAATTAATGAACAAAGTTGCTTAAAGTCACTCTATGTGGTAGCATGTTATAGATAAATGAAAAGGGATACTTACCAGAAAGGAAAAAGGACACTTGTTAGATTTTAATAGGGGCAATTATCAGAATATTTCCTGCACCTAAAAAGAGGAACTTGCCAGAGATGAAAAATGGCACTTATCCGAGAATGGGAAAGGGGCACCTATCAGATTTTAATAGGGGCACTTAAGAGAAGGAAAAGGGGCACAATAGGGGCATAAACGTAACATTGGATGGGATGATGTCCATGTTAACGAGTTTAAAAATTAAAATACATTTTGACCAAAAAGGATTAGTTTGAATTTTATATTAATTGCTCATTGAAAACAGATTGCCTCCTGATTTTACTACATTGATCTCTCTAGATAGCGATTCACTTTGTGAAGAATTAATTTGACTTGACAAAAATACACTGGAGTGGATGAAAGCCATTAAAGTTAGGTCAAAGCATACATACATAGTTAACATTATACACATGTCCTGCCCAATTCTTATTAAAAAGGTGCATTCTGATCAATAGATGCACTAAATTGTTTCAAGTGTGCCTCCATATTATAATAATAAGTTATACTTCTTATTATGTATACAGCCCTTCTCCACTGAATGTCTTGTATCTTTAAATTGCAATCAAACTCTTATAATAAGTTCATTTTGTGTGAAATTAGAAAAATAAATAAAGATGGGGAAAGATTTTTTTTTTCTTTCTCCTAGCACAGTTTGCTATTAAGGATGGATTTCCCTTTACCGTAAATCTCTGTGTATAAGACGCACTTTTTTGCCGCTGAAAAAAATTGAAAGTCGGGGGTGCGTCTTATACACAGGAACAATTTTTTTTTTTGCCCCCAAAATAGAGGTGCGCCTTATACACAGGTGCGTCTTATACACAGAGATTTACGGTAAGTTTTATGAAGATACAACCATTTAGCTAGAGTGAGTTTTTTCTTTATAATAATGAGCTAGTATGTCTGCTCTTTGTTGTGCACAGTTGCAATTCACTTACACATCGTAAATAAAATGTACTCCATTTCATATATGTAAGAGCTGCGGCAGTGGTTAGAAGGAAGCCGTCATACTTTACCTCGTGGGCATACTTCAGAGCAATATTGAGATTTGATCATCTTTACATGACCGATAAAAAAAAGCAATTATCAATGACGGAAGTACAGTAATGATAATTAGTCTCATTTATTATGCATCATTATTGAGTAAAAGACAATTTTGTACATAAACATTAACAACAATATAGGAAATAAAAAAGTTTTCTTGTCATGCCAATTTTCATGAATGTAAATTCACAAAAATGTTTCAAACAGTACTAAATAAGACATGAAAGCTCTAAATCTGATTCTTTATAATTACTTTTCTTCACCTTTGAGATTCAGAAATGAAATAAAATAATTCATTCAAATCTTGAAGTGAGTTTGTTTTCAGAATCCTCGTGAATAACAGATACAAAATTAATGCTCTCTTTAAACCAAGCATAGAAAAAATGTGGAGAAACTGTGATAATTGATAGTCATTTGAATTTTACGGTAAATATTCTTTCAAGGAAACTATCTACAGGCTTAACAACCTAAATTACTGTGAATGTTATCCTGTTAATAGTAACATACAGATGTAATGTAGCATAGAATTCGCAGTCCACACAAATGTAAATAGCTAGTTTTTTTTTTGATACTACATGTATCTGCTCTCCAAATAATTCATCATTATATGAACACTTCTTCACAGTTTCAAAAATTCATATTTTTTACCCCATGTATTTATTCATCTAGAGCAAGATTTTTTTCACATAAATAATGCACTTATACAAAAATATTAATGACTCATGAAGAAGACAGCAAGTTAACACAAAAAGAAGGGAAAAACACTGGCTGCTTACATACATCCAAGTCTTGTTAAAAATAAAGACTGATTATTGCAGGATCTGAAATGGTTATTGTTTACTTTTAACATTTTCTGAAATTTGTAACCATATTTAGCTTTCAAATCTGTCTTTGAGAGCTTGTACTTAACGAGTCACACCACTATTATCCGCACTATTCAATATACCCCTAACATCTACAGATACATAATATGCTTTATCTGCATTTGTCTCATGAAGGCTTCTTAAAGAAGACGTTTAACCAGGTACAAGGAATTAAAAAAAATTGAACATCATCTGTTGATGAGTACACCAAGATACCATTTTGTCGAGTTTTCAAATCACTTGGTATTCATGTTACAAGGATGTATAACCATGATACATACCCAATATTAAACTCATTACCAAATCTACATGTAATGATGAGAAACATTCATTGTATAACTGTGGCCGGTAAGGGTATGAACAGCACAGCATCAAGAATAAATGCATAAATTCATTGAAGTACAAAGAGCATCGGACCTACAAAAGGCATACACTATAACATAACATATATATCTACAGTCTGTAATAACAATATAAGACAAACATATTTCTTCTTAGACACGTAAATGGCTATCTACAATATTATATATTATTTACATATACAAAGATGTAGGGATATACAATTTCATTTAATATCATACAATTTTTTTTTTTTTTTTTTTTGTATATCCGATTGAATCATCAGTAAACATCCCAAGGTTTACTTCTTTCATGATCAAAATGATTTTTGACAAATCTTAGGAAACATAATTAAGTTTCAATTTCTCACCAAGATCCCTCCCTTAAAAAAAAAAGGGCTCTCAGCGGGCCAGGGCTTAAAACAATGAAATACAATTTTTCAAAATGTTTGGTATGCAAACTTGTGTGTAAGCATACCTTTAGTTACAGGTGGCTCCTTTCTGGCTACTTTCTTGAGGTTTAACTGACATGGGGGACCTTAGGAATCTTCAGGTTTTAAGAATGATATCATACTCATAGTGATATCAATGCCGCTTGGTCAAGTGGGAGGTGGATATCATGCGTTGAACAATGATAAAAGTATTAGTACATGTATTAAGTATTTGGCGTGGAGTAAACAGCGACTTACCATGACCCATACAGATAATGATATCAGTTTTCATTTTGGAGAGATCTATAATGGCGAGTATGAGTACAACGTGTAACTCACATTTTCCATTTATTGATATCATTTTAAGCTCATGTACAGCTTTGGTAGCATAAAGGAAATTGGAAAGAATCATATTAGATATAATCTCAAATTGTTTTCCTTGTATCAAAACATACATGTAGGAGATCATTTGGTATTCAATCCATGATATCTAGTGAAAAGTAGTCTGCTAGGAAGGCTAGATAATGGCTATACACTTACCCTGTACCAGGACCCTTCCACCCAGATGGCTCTTTCACTTAGAGACAGCACGCACATAGAGACTGTAGTGTATTCACACAGTCTTCATAGGTTTTACATGTGTAGTGCAGGATACTATTGTTATAATTCACACCCCAGGATGGAATCTGAATTATTTTTTACTTCTCATTTGTTTAATATATCACTTGAGGACAAAACAAACTCACAGCAGCTTAGTATTGCTAGTATCCTCCAACATATCATGTAAAATTAAAAAAAGAGGGGGGAATTTTTTTTAGAGGGCTTTATACCAAAACTGTACACGACCTTTAATATATATAGGTATATATGTAATTCCTATGCCTTGTGACTACTGATTCAAAAAATTTGTCACCATGAGAGATTCAAGGAATATAGTCCAACTTTGTTGATACAGTCCATCACCATCCACTTGGATTCACTAAAGAAAGAATCCAATGATTCATCCAGAACCAGGCTCTAGCCCTCCTGGCCAAAGTCTTCAGTGAATTTGACCTGTTTTAACAAGTCTGCATCATTGACAGATGGCTTGGTGTTCTCAATAGCTTTGATTAGGTCTTTCTGTAATTAGAAACAAAACAAGGAGCAATGGATGGAAGGGGTCAAGAGAGGAATAATATATATAACATATTGCAGGCCTTAAATTTCAATATTTTTAGGGCAAGGCCACTTTTCTGTAGGGCACATTCCTATATTACAGCACAAATAGGAAGAATTGGAAAGGGCACAAAAAATCTCTGAGGCCAATGAGAGGGGCATTGAGGCCAATCAAAGGGGCATCCACGGCCATGGCCTTGGATTAATTTAAGCCCTGTATTGGTTGACAAAGATGTGATCGTTTCAAGGGAAATCCAACCTTGATAGCAAAGTACGCTAGAAAAAAGGAGAAAAATGAGAAAAGCAGCCTGGTGAAAGTTTGAATGAAATCAGACAAAAATTGAGAAATTTCTAAATTCTTGGAAGTTGAAAATCAATATAGGTGTGGGTTCTTTGAATTGGCTGAATTGGTAACGTCTCTGCCATATAGTGGTGGACTACTTTCCAATTTGTTCCGATACACCAAATGACTACAATTTCAATTTAAAAAAAATGTATGACTCAGGGAGCTCTTATAATAATCTGCTACCCATAACATACTTTGAGTAGTGCCCCAAGGGAGAAGGCACTTAGGAGAAAAATAGAAATTAATTATACTTTTGTACACATGAGACGAGTTATCCATGACTACGTCACAATCCATGGACCAAACTGCCAATTTGAGATTCGCATAGACTTATAACTTTCTTGCTATTGGTCAAATTTATTTCAAGCTTTCACCATTCTGTTTCTCTTATTTTTCTGCTTCCATACTAATTACAAGATGGATTGCCCCTAAACTGGAGAGGAGCAGGGTGAAAGAAGTTAACTCTGAGTTACTTTCTATGATGGCCATATAAATCAATATTACATTATACTCTTTTTATTGTTAAACAATTGAAAGGCAAGGTAGGGGGGGGGGG